TGGGACTCCTATTAACTGTTACTAATTTTATTCGGATCCCAATGAATTTCAATAGAGAATTCCCCCTGAATTTATCAGGACTACAAGATATTTTAGTAGGATTCATATTAAATTGAATAAGCTTCTACATATTGAAACCAGATTCCTATTAATTATACTAGGATTCTTACTAATTCTAGAAAGATTCGTATCAATTTCAAGAGAGCTCTCATTCATTTTAATGGGGTTCCTATTCATTTAAACAGGAATCCTATTGAATTCATACGAACCCTATGAATCCTCTTAAAATTAATCGGAACAGGAATCTTATTAGAATTGATAGCAATCCAGAAATTGTTCAGGTCACTTCTGTTGGAGCACTCGCTCGAACAATTGCTGAGTGGATCAAATTTTGTGAAGTGAGCTTTTTCAAGTAACGAAGTTAATTCAACCAACTAGTTAAATCAAGTACATTAGACAAATTAGCACTCGCTCGAGCAATTGCTGAGTGGATCAAATTATGTGAATTAAGCTTTTTACATAAGGAAGTTAATCAAACTAATAAAGTGAATTAAACATTAGACACATTAGTTAAGTTGAGCAAAACTAATTAATGAGTGAATAACCCTACCATGACCAAACTGGGAGGCCGATCTGTCGGACCTCATGGAAGAGCATATGGAAACCTATAATAGGTTTTGAGGGGGGGGTACCATATAATATATATATATATGTATCAAACGCGAAAGAGCTGTGAACAACCAACAAACCAGCAACAAACAAAAAAAAACATCGGCCCGCAACTCGGCTTGAGATGCTAAACATCTTGGCGGCCGACGGAGTTCAAGCGTCCTCGCAGCGCCGAGGGACACAAGGACCGCCAAGGCATCCTCCGTCTTTTCCTGTGGACGACACCACGGACAAACATGGATTCCCACCGGACAGTCCACAGAGGCGCGGCTTAGGAGGGCACCAACGGCACGCAAATTTGTAAATACGACACTTGCGTACAACCACCATTCTGGAGTGGCCCTAAAGCTGCTTGAAGACAGCAATGAGTCCGAAAATTGAAAAGCCGCGAACTCCATGTTGTGCTCTTGCTGCTGTCCCCACATCTCTGCCCATCAGAAGGCTTTGGGAAGCCAGGGTTGTGGATTTACATCGGGGTCAGGGTATGCAGCGGACTTTACTTCATCATCAAGTCGCAATCGTCCAGCTCATTCCTCAAAGTCGAAACAAGTAACAAAACCCTGCCATAACAAATAAGCTGTCCTGCCAGACTTGATCATCCGCCTTCCAATCGCCGCCATCGGCACTGTTCTGTCCAGCGCTGGGGAGACCAATGAAAGGAGTGAAGGGCCCAGGGATTTCATGGCTTTAGGTCGGCCAAAGTGTTCTGCAGGCCTAGGCTGGCTTCAGCTAGACAGTGGGGAGCGGGGTGCAACAGGCCAGCACGCCGTGATTAGGCAGTGGCCACTGAGATATCTCTGACCCCTAAACCTCGTGCTGTCTTCAAACCCTCCAACGCATCTTCAAAGTCGACAGTATCAAGCCACCTGTCGCCCACAGCCACACCCCGACATCTTGCAGTCCAACCTGCCTCCAAAGGACCCTAACCGACATGCTCAATCCCTGATAAGATCGCGCCCACCCCCGAAGCCCTAAGTCCTATCCCTGGCTTTCACCGGAAACGCCTCTGACAGGCTCACATGGCAGCCGTTCGGCCTGGGAAGAGTCTCACGATTTCTGACAAGCTTTGTGGGAACTGGGCCCTTCAAGCCAAGACTGGGAGCCCGACCAGGCATGGGCCTCCAATCCACAAAGCCTCGGTCAAGGAGATGCCAGGATTCCAGGTTTGGGGCAGCGCATGGGGGTGGGTGGGGGGGTTGGTTGTGAACTTGGGTGTCTGGACCCCGGCTGCAAATAAAGCCTACCTGCACACTGCAGACACAATTATACATATATACAAATCTTTCCACTTTACTCCTCAACCTCAGCCGCTCACGGACAATGGAAACCTTCTGAGCTGCTGACGGCATGAGAGAGCCTCAGCTATATCATGAGGGAAACAGTCGACGTGGGATACATCAACCACCACTCTCCGGAGCTGCATGATATTCAGGGTTGCCATGCTCGCGGAGTGGCTATTCGGGAAAGCCACTCGGGCCATGCAATTGCCATGCAAATGTACAGGGCCTGAAAATGGCCGAAAATGACACAATTGAATCTTGGAAACTGATCAGGTTTGAGCTGGCTTCCAGTGGAAGTCTAAGCCAACACCACATTGAAGTTTTTCATACAGGTGATATGACACGTCTTCGCCAAGCTACGAGTAGCTGTCGATTTTGCAAAACCTCTTCCAGTCCCTGCAGGACGGTCCATGCACTTAATTACAAGAATCAGCATCCATCAATCTCTAAAGGTAACCTACACCGAGTTTGTCATATTCAAACTGCGGCACGTACCCCACTCCAAAACAAGATAGGAAGCGTTTTTCACAGCAACTAAAGCAAACTCTCGAAGCTGAAAGCACCCTGATCACAGCACCGCCGCACACAGTGAAGCACCCGCAGCCCAGCCAACAAGTACAACTTCGCGATTTCAGTGTTTGTAAACTGAATGTGGAACTTATTGGTACAAGTGGCCCATGAGCTCCAGCAGCCATGGTGGGAACTCCACGGGCGCCACCTGGCAATGCCAAGGATCGAATAAAGTTTCGGCTTCAGGGGTTCTGTGGGTCTGATCTAGATTCCGTAGCTTCCTGGAGCTCAAGATCTGTTTACCTGCCGGGGATGATGTGTGCCACATTCTCTGGACACTGACCTAAATGCCCCGAAACGCATCTCTTCTTTTGGTGCAGCTTCTTCTCTGTGTAATCGGAGCAAGATCAAGCTCACTCTCACTCGCCCGGGCCCAAATGTTCGTCGAGGTTCGGTCTTGTAGGATGTGAAATCTCCGCATTCCTCCGGCCTAAGAGAAGTTAAAAACGTGCCAACACAGCTTCGCAGAGCGTTATGTGTTCGCTGTCGAACTTTGCTGCACACCGGCAAGAACTCCGAGCCGAGTTCCCAGCTCGGACTTTCTAAGCCCTTCACATTCTAAGCTCTTCGCAACAGCCGAAGCCCTAAGCCCGGAACATCCGCACGAAAGACTATTTTCCAGGTCCCCAGTGTGCGCCTCCACACCATCCTGCCGGTAGGTTCGGGTCACACCTGTCTTGGCCTTGGATTAGTGTCTGACATCTCAATCTGCATGATTGCTCATCCCAGCAATGCGAAACCCTCCTCAATATGAATGCCCTCTGCTGCGGTCGTTCTCATAGGTATACGGTATACTGGTTGTCTTGGAGGCCGTGTTGTCATTGTCATGAGAAAAACCAAGGATGGCCCCCACCAGAAGCGCCCGGAGAATCACATGTCCTACTCGGAACCGACCTTGGTTCTTTCCTACCAAGCCCTAAAACACGGCATGACACTCAAATATTCGGAGCGGGCGCGAGTGCGTGCAGAATCAGTTCCTTGACATGCTCAACCCTCCGCAATGGATGTCCATGCATGCGAGGCCCAGCACAAAGCCTCCCTTTTGCAGTTTTAGGCCCCGACAAACCATGCGGTTCTTCGGCCGTTGCCTGAAACACAGCCCGTCACAAGCCATGATGTTTTGGTGGGCATGGAAGGGCAGCCTGGCACACTTTCTTCAACCAACTCTTTCGGTGACAACTCTTATTGTAGGACTTGCATGCCGTAGATGCATAGCCCAAAGCTCGGTCCTCGTCAGCAAAGGTGTTAAAAAAACTAGCAAGGGTCCACTGTAGGTCTTGCCCCGTGCAAGGGTCTCTTTCTTGACCTGTGACCTGTCAACACCAGTGGGGTGCACAATCCACTGCATCACGAGATGCTTCATGCTTCGTTCCGGATTCAAGCATATCATATGGGTCAGTTGGGAAGAATCGCGGAGTGTGATGTGCTGTCTGGCATGGGTCTTTGAACCGTTGTGGACCAGGACTCTTTTCAATCCACAAGCCGGAACATGGCATGTGATGGCATGTGCCTGCAGAAGACTGCCAGGCCACGCCTAGGGGACGGGGCAACGGTTGCACTGGCGGCAGGAGGATACCCGGTTTATCTCTGTTCAGAAGTGAAATGTAGGTTTGCAACACTTTCGAGGAAGAGAGGAGGGTCGATGAGGGTGGAGACGAGCAAGCAAGATAAACGCTAAACTTCAGCATGACTAGAGTCAGGTCTAAATACAGTTGCCCGTCGTTTGGCCCTCGACAGTTTTAGGAGCTTGGGCGCAGCTTAACTTTTGATTCGTAATTGCAACCCTGGAAGCAACTGCACATAGCCCGAAGCTGCTTCTGTTGGCAAAAACGCTGAACAATGCTTTGATGTGACAGTCGGGGTCGTGGTCCCTTTGCCAGAATGGGATCTTTAAGCTTTTGAGTTCTAGTCGCTGGTATTGCAGATGACAGTGTCAGTGCATCATCGTGATTAAGCAAGGCAAGGTCATGCGCAAGCTCCAGCTGCCAGTGCTATCTGAGTCGCTCTCCCCACAGGAACAATCACTCAGAATAAGCATCCTGCACATGCCCCGAACTGCCAAGATAGGTGTCGCTTTACGAGAAAATGTATAGAGTATAGAGGTTCTTGGAGTCCGGCTCCTGAAGCTGGCGAGCATTTTTTCGTTGAGCGGTGGCTGCAGTGCAAAAATCGCACTGATCCCTCCGCTGCAGTGTTTGCAATGTTTGCAAACCACTACCTGCCTTCTTTCTCCATGACACGACGGGTGAACCACCTGGTGCCATTTGCCTATCAATAGCAAGTTGCAAACTTGTCGGTATTGCTCGGCCGGCTTGCTGTCAGCAGAAGATTCCGAAAGATTCCTGATCCTTCTGGTAGTCGGTCAAGTCACATGTGCTCAAGATGTTTTCCATGACAGCGCTGCGAAAGGAGAAGGTCCAATAAGTTTATCTCAAGGTCGCAAACGCCGCAAGCGTGGCTTTGCACGTGTTCTGTTTTGTGCTAGGCTCGCGTCTTCTCTTCACCAGGCCGGGAAAGTTCTGCAACTTGTAAAATGCCAGTCCATTCCCTTGCTAGCTGTCTGGACTGGGCATGCACCCATGTCCAGCCAAACCGTTCATCAGTCGACTGTGCCTGTCGCGTCTCAGCTCCGAGGGCAACCTGTGATAAAGCCTCGGACAGAGTCAAGGAATAGTCGGCCGCCAACGCGACCTCTGCACGAAGCATGTTGCGATGGCAGGGCACATGCACAGCAAACTCAAGCAGGTTCAGCAAAGAAATCGTGATCTCCAGATGGGGAGCTTGCAGGCCCCATCTCCAAAGACTGCGCAGCAGAAGTTGGGCTACCCCAGTCTTGGGATTACAAAGTTGACTCGAAAGTGCTTTCGACTTCAGGTGGGCCAGTTCCGCCAGTAGTTGCAGCGAAGACCCAGCTAGCAATGTGTCCTCGGTGCCTCTCAAGATACCCAGGATCGTGGGGATGGCGTCGTCCAAGGCCCCAGGGCTGTCTTCTCTGGCTGCGAGGCACCAGAGCAGCTTCACCGGCAGGTGGGGCAGCCTCTCCGTCTCCACGGTTAAGTCTAAAAGGGGCGTCACGAGCTTGGCCAGGCAAAGATCTTTGCAGAGCCTGGGCTCATGAGGCTGAGGCTGATGCAAGAGACCTTCCAAAAGCTGGTGGACGGCGGCGAGCCGCTCCGGCATCGAGGTCGCAGTGATGATTGCCTCTGCCAGCACGGAAGGACGACCCGGACCCTCCCTGTCCTCCCTGTCCCCACCTTGGCTTTCCAAGTTGTCCACCAGCAAAGGCGCAAGCGGCGCCAGCTCCATGGCCAGACCACTGCCTACGTCTACACATGGAGGTCTGGAAGATTCACGTGTTGGCTTGAACCAGATCTTCTTGCGAAAAACTCCCGTCTGGTACAGACTTGTGAGGGCACTGTTCGCCCATCGCTACGACGCATCGCATTGCATCTTGGCCGGCGGCCTTTGGCAGATTGTGAAAGGGCAGCACGCAATGCACCCTTTAGACTGGGTTCCGCGCTCTGGAGCATGGTCGCAAAGTATTTTGTGCACGCCTCCTGTTCGGGCAATACTCATCCCTTTGTTGTGGAGTGCGTCAAGGAGAAGCTTCCCAACCACGGTGAAATCTTTCTCGATAAGTCCTACACAGTCCAGAAGTAGGCGGAGGGGAGCCATACCAGGATCCCAATGTCAAAAGATGTCATACATAAGATCTCTAGAGACGTGCCTATTTGCCGCAGACCTCTTGTTAGGCCAGGGTCGGCAGGAGGGGTTCTAACGTTGGATAACATTAATGATGGTCGCGGCTGTTAGCTGTTACTTAGACTTTGCCTGGCCGGTAAGCTGCGAAGCCCCGAAGGCAGGTGGGGCCGTCAAGTGCCCAAGACCTCTGATGAAACCAACACTACCTGAGAATGCGAAATGGCCTTGTGCCGCACACGCTTTTTGCAGCTTTTTGTCGCATCGGTCGGGTTGAAGAGTCTTCTGCCTTTCTGTCTCAGCAGGTCGGTTGTCGGGCTCTTCGCATGTAAACGACTTCCCTTCAAACTGTTCGCTCTCAAACCTGAGTTCCGAGATGTAGCCCTGAGTTCCTGAATACACTCTGATTAACCAAAAGCTGGAGCTGACTTGTTTGAAGGTGCACTTTGGCAGTCGACAGGTCGAATTTGCTCTCATATGAATGCGTGCGAATCAAGAGCATATCTAGAGCAGTGCATTCCGAGTTACGGCTTCTGCTGTGTGAACTGCCATGAGAGTTGCGTGCGATCCAGGGTTTCGACTGTTCAGGTTTCGGGGCATGTATGCCAATGTATACCGCGTTCATGCCTCGCATGTGGTGAAACACTGGTGGGGCCGCTGCTTGAAGCCCGGGACCAGCTGTCAGCTATTCTGACAAGGTGATGATGCAAGCAATAAGTCTTCAAGGATCGCTGAAGGCTACATCAGCGTAAACTGTGTCCCTGCATGTTGGTTTAAGCTCATTTCAACCGCATTTCACAAAACATTCGGACCTCTTCGACTTGTCCCAGAACTCCTGCAAGTGTTGCTGGATGCCGGTTCTAATGCCCGATTCAGCCCCCTTCTAAACGCATAGCCTGACTCCCACAGCTGACCAACTGAAGGAGGAAAAGGGCTAAGGTTTGGGTGAAAGGTTCCTTTGCCCAGCAGAAACATTCCCATGACCTTTCCTTATGGGACGCTTCTCGGATGCAGCTGATCTATGATAAGATCTGAAAGACCAAGAGATATATCAACAACATCAAGACAAATTGAATGTAGAGGTGCCAGAAGCAAGCAAGGAGTCGTCCACTATGGACATTCCGCGTGTCCAAGAACTATACGACTGTCATCGACTGTGCACACACATGCACTTGTCCTGGCCGTGGCAGATCTTCCCTTTCCACAGGTGGCAGGCTTGCGTGTTGTGGTAAAATTGGAAGCCGTGGCATCCTGGACACATCAGCAAGTTCAATGACAATGCAGACCCTACAGGACGCAGGCGCACTGTGGCTGCAGAGCTTCGCCATCCCGGTGAGTCAGGCGCTCAGGATCAGACATTTAGGGCTTGGGCCTTCCATCCATCTTTTCTGGAGCTCAGCAGGTGCCCTGTAGAAAAATGTGTACACCCTGTTCTTTCTCCTTCCTGCTTTGATTAGTTTTCACTCCGTGATGCAAACGTTAAATCTTTGACAGAGAAGAATCTGTCCACTTGGCAAGGTCGTGAAGTACAGACAGGCTGAAACAAGTTCAGAGCCGAAGACGCTCAAAAGCCGTGAGCTCAAAACACCGTGACCCAGTCAAGCGGGGCCTGAGTCCAGTGCACACGATGCCGAGCAGTGCCGAAGCGAATGCACTGCTATGTCCTCCAAGAACGGTGGCTTGCCGGTACTAGCAGGGCTTGGAGTCTTCCTGTTGCTGGCATCGCTAGTAATGAGCATTGCACTTGGGATGGCGGCACCGTGGTAAATTCTCCGCACTCAGCGCTCCGATCAGGCGATGTTTGGTGGGGAATCTCTCCTGAATCTCTCCTGAATCCCAGAAAGCGAACAAACCCAACAGCGTCTGTTCACGGACGCAAGACCAAAGCGACCAGCATCGCGACAAGCATGTTGCTTCAGTGAAAGCCACAAAAACTTGGGTGCTTAGGGAAATCGACTTCTGGCAAACTCCGGAACGCACCTCCACGGCAACTTGGCCCCTGGCCATCTGAGTGGGATATCGGGTATTCTTCACACGTTGAGCTTGAAAGAGCCATTTCGGGGCAACAAATGGCTTCTTGGTGCGACGGTGACCTATTCTTCATGAATACATAGCGAAATCTGTTGCGAGGCCGCACTGAAATACGACTGCCGGGCCCGGATAGGGTTCGGGTCCTTCCTTCTGCACAGCAAGACATGAAATCCTGGACCTCATTGAGGGAGGACATGGCTAAGACCGGAGCGAAGCAACTGACTCCGACTGAACCTAACTTCTCAGCACAACCTCTCCGCCCGCTCACAAAGCAAGACACACCGAAGCCTAATCCCGGAGCCCCAGATTCAAAGCCGCTCAAAAACGAGCTGGAGCCACTTGCTCTGGCAGGCCGTGCTGAGTCCGAGAGACTTGAACTTGCCCTGCCAATGTCTACAGCTCTATGACCCATATGCTGTGGCTTGTGGACGTGCAGCTCGGCTACAGTATGAGGGCTTTGAGGGGGTCTGCACAGCCTGTGAGCTGTAGACTCCAGACAGAGAGGACACACGTCGGGTGTGAAGGTGAAGGTTTACACTGCGGTGCAAGGTCTATAGCTTTTCGGTTCCTCAGAGAAAGCATGCAAGGCTTTGAGCTATTTCAAGCTGCAGGGCGTTGGGGTCTCATCTGCTTCGGCTGCAGAGACCCTGGGCGCCTTTGGGCTGGATACAAACCCGTGGGCTGCGCAGAGTCCCCCAATTCCCGCCAACAGGTTGGCAAGACAAGCCTTGTCCACATTTGAGGAAGCTGGAGGAAGCCCGAACTTGCACCGGTAGGGACAGAAAGCCTGCCTGAATCATGTAGCTGTTCTTCTCCTGCATCTGCGGCATCGCGAAGTCAGCCCAGGTATGGAAGTCGCCTCAGAGTGACCGAGGGCTTTCCTCGACCGGGTACTTCGCCGAGATCCTCCACTTCTATGAGTAGTTGACTATCGGCGACTGTTGCCTATTGGCCGAAGCCGTGTGCCGTAGTCTTGATGCGGCATTAGATGAACACCAAGCTGACCTAGCTATAGTCACTTTGCCGAAGACGCACATGTGTACGCAAGAACGATGCAACTACGAAGGTTCAGGGCCAATGACCACGATTGACTGTCATAAATCATACTGTAACATATCTGCTCCCCGGCCCGTTGCTCAAACATATTCCTGCAACTCGTGAGGCTGAGCCGTGTCGCTCCATGTTTGTCTGCGAAGATCTGTAAATACACGCAGCGCATGCATCCAGGCTGCTAATCGAAAAAACATGACAGCGCTGGACTTGCTGCTTGACTACTCTACTTGGAAAGTTGCGATTTGCAACAAATCAGGGCCCACTAGGCATACCTGTGTTTTGAGTGGTCCAAAAGTACATTGAGCCTGGCGACCAACACCTTCGGCTGCGCCTTGCCGCATCATTGCACCGGAAACCTGGTGCTCGGAAGCAGTGTACCGAGTCACTGACCGGCGAGGCTTAACAAGAGTTTGAGGATTCGATGCCCCTTCTATGACTATCCATGCCGGCGTAGCTCCAGCGCAGCTTGTAGTCTCTGCTTAGACTCTCTAGTTCTGCTTGAAAAATTGATGGGCATGCAATAGCAAAGTTTGCTCGACCGGCCTAGAAAATGTAAGACCCTCATTAAGCCTCGTCTTGTGGCTCGTGATCACTTCCGGCCCTGATCTGAATCGCCTGATAAAGAGAACCAACTTGCTCTAGTTATGTCTTACGTTGTTTGTAGAATACATCAGGCTAAGATTGTGCAGACATGCACACATAGAAGAAAAAGCATATACACAAATCTACATGTATTCATACATACACATTATATACACATGTGCATATACCTGTATACAAGTAACATACACAGATCATAGACTGTCATAGACGTTGCATGCAGAGACACAGTAACATGTACACATACACAAACTATCAACACAGTCTACGCGTAAGAAAAAATAAATACAGATGCAGTTGATGTAGTTCGGAGTGTATAAATGAAACGGAATATGTAGATACATATATATATATATAGTCTCTCCAAAGGCCAGCTTTTTAACATATCCACATAACATCCTGCTTTTCCTGCTCTTCTACAAGAGTGCTACGTGCCTTGCGCGGGCACCTGCGCGATCTCTAGACAATCAATTCTTCTTGTGGCTACAAGGTTTCCTCAATTCCATTCTGTTCTCCAGAAATCATAAGCGTGCTGGCCTGCGTGTGGAACTCTTTCGGGAAGTCTTTTCCTGCCAAGTGAACCCGGAGATCAGTCCATGAGGCGAACAGCCAAGCCAACCCAGAATCCTGTCAGGCAGGAAAATCTTTGGGGCACCGCGTAATATTTTGGGGCACCGCGAAATATGGAGGCATGACATGTGACCTCGCATTCCTGACGGTTCTGTACACACTGAAAATGCCATGGTTCTACTATACTGCCATGCCGAGCGATGAGACCCAGAGTGACTTGAGAGGGCGCCTGACGCAGCAACCATGGCGTCCATGGAGGGGTCCGTCACCTGCGGAGGACTTTACAAAAAGCAACGCACAAAGGGTTTATACACATTTGGCAACCTCCCCTTTGCAATACTGCGACGACCGCCCTCCCCTTTGCAATACTGCGACGACCGCCGTCGCAGAGGCCATCGTCGCAAAGTACCGCAGAAGCCGCAAAGGGAGCCACACATTGATGCATGAAGAGCTTGAATGTAGGCAGCAGGTCTCGCGCGGAGAACAGATTCCTTCCTACCAATTGTGGCAAATTCGATGAACAGCCGTGTACATCCGGCCAGGTTAGCGATGCTTTGGCTTATGACTTATGACATTCTCATACGATTATCATGCAGAACTTTGATGTGTACAAGTAGCATGAGCTCGAGGGGCTACTTGGGATGCATGGTAAGATGCAAAGGAGCACACGTAGACAGAGCAAGGAGCACATCCCCGGAGGTTCAATGGTCCAGTGCCCGAACCATACATCAGTGCTCTATGACATCCATAATATTCTTGACTGCAAGAGTGGTGACAAAAAATGGGATGATGGTGATGAGAAGTGGAAGCACACTCTCTGCCAAACAACGCAAGCCTCCGCGATGATCTGAAACTTCTTGCCTGCGCCCAATCCCACAGCTTCCTGGCACTTCGAGCAGGAATGGTCTTTTCGGCTCCCTTCTGGCTTCCGCTTTGCTTTGCACAGTCCTTTTGGTGACAGGAACGTGTCCAAGAGCACGCCTCGATGGGCTCCAAGAGTCTGAGACAGACCCCTTCATGCTGCAGAAGCATTGGAAAGGCTCCCTGTCCAACGATCCAGAAAAACAGGATCCCATGCCCACCCCGCGGTCAAGATGAATTCTGTTTCTTGGCGCATGCGGGTGGATGTGTGCAGCATGTTAAAACACCTTGCAGCTGCACACATCTACAACCAGCAACTGAGAACCCTTCTAGGGCAAGCCTTAAAACACCGTAACAGCTCAAACGAAGAATTCCTCGAGCCCTGTCGCCCTTTGTCCTGCAGGGACAGTAATTCTTCCTCGGTCCCATCTGCGCCAATGTTCACCATCACCGTCTGCCAAGCAGAGTCTCATAACTGCAGCTGCACAAGGCACAGATCTAACCTTTCGAGGTTCGCACCCCTACGTTCTGAGATGCTACGCTTTGGTTGAATGGAGGGCCTGTCTTGCAGCAAGACATTCTTGCTGATCCTGCTAGACCGGCATCCCGAAAAGCTCCACGTGAAAGTCCTGTCACCTAGAAACTGAAACGGCAGGCCCATTCCTGCGTCGGTACCGGAAACCGAAAGAGAGGTGTGACCAAGACCAGGCCAGAAACCATAACAGAAACCAATGAAGATGTAGCGAGAACCAGACACTGCCATAACGGAAGCCCGCGAAACCTGCAATTAACGGAAACCAGAACACGTCTCCTAGAGAAACCTCCAACACCTGAAGCCCAAGCTCCTAAAAACCCTGAACCCTTAAGCCCTAGCAGCCCATACTTCTCTCTCTGCCGCTGCATCCCAACATGCTTGTCGGTTCCATCTTTTTTTGGTTTCGGTTATGCGTGCCGAATTCACCCCCCCTCCCCCTTCCCTTTCACAGTTTGTGAAAGGTGCAACAAGGGATAAGGTGCCTCCGGTGTCGTCCTCATCAAGCGCCCAAAGCTATCTTTGGCCACCCTGCAGAGAGATTGTGCCGACGGGTTGGCCAAGTTTAAAAATACGACTTGCTTAGGAAGCTCTCACACTCGCGGCTTCGGTCCAGATCCAGCTATGCCACTACGCCTGCTCAAGTAGGAAAAAACATCCCCATAATGAAAAAAACCAAACCCTGCACCGCCTACACCTCAACATCAAATTTCGAAGCCGGACCATTTCTGAGAGGTACATAGCACATGCTGTCCAAGCTCTGGGCCAAGGTTCGCTCTCGAACGGTTGCGTGTCAGGATATGGACAAAACTTGGGATTGTTTGCTTTCTCTTTGTGTTTTCATGGGAGTTTGACCTCTAGGCTCGCAAGGCTTTGCTTAGTGGCTGAAGCAAACCCCCGAATCCATGAGGGGCCTGAGAAGCAGGGGCAGGAAGAGCTCCGAAGGCAACTCTTGCTGCTGAAGCGTGACCGTCATTGACGCCCTCGGGCGTAGCGGAGGTGCAGACCGTCTGTGAGCGCGAGGCTCGAAGTGACAACTCGAATCAACGATGGACCTCCACCCCAACAACACGTTCTACGCCGCCTTGCGTGCAGTAACTGTGGGTTTCGATTGCTGTGAGTTGCCCTCAGATACCGATCGGAAGCTCCGTGGACCATTGGAACCGAATCGTCATACTCCATCACACTTGTTCTATCCGAATCCAGCGACGCCAGCCTGTGACCTGGAGTCCAAAAAGTGTATCACTTTACACTGACACACACACACACACACCCACTTTCGATTCATTCAAGCTCGGAGGTGCCTCACACAAAGACTCAATGGCCTCGACAAATGCAGCCAGGCTTCGACAGCACGGGCGAGCGGTTTGGGCACTGGCCTTTCACCTTACCCCAGGCTTGAGTTGCCAGGTGCGCAGCATCTAGGTATGGAAGAATAGCTTGGCTCTCAGAGCTGCGCGAGCGATGAATGCGTGATAAGAGGTGTGTTGAAAGAGCTCGGCCAAGGGGCAGGATGGCCGGACAGAAATGCCTGCCCGCACTTCGCGTGGTTTGGGTCTTGTGGAGTTCCAGGTTTTGAAGGCTCTGTGGGGCACTCTGCGAAGCTTTAGTAGTGGTATGCGCCAATATAGGCGTTCACAGCAGGGCATCGGCAGTCACTAAGGAGTTTGCTCAGGGCTTGAGGGTGGCTTGAGGGTCTTAAGAGTCTCAAGTGCCTGGCTCAGAACAAGTCCTAGCCACAAATCAGGCGTGATTCTCCTATCAAAACCAACTAGCGCGAGTTGCCAAATTGCCAGAAATCATATATGTATATACGAACTGAAAAAAAGTCAGTGGCCTGCAGCTCTTTTGCGGTCTCCAAGACCTCCGGTCCTTGCAGACCTGGCCCATAAGAGCAGGAGGCGAAATTGGCAGAGGCTTGTTGCCCAGAGCTGTAGTAACTGTAGTACCGTCTTGTACTGGGCAACAGGGTTGGGGTCAGTGCATGTCAGTCTTTCTTGGGGGATTCCTTGGTGGGAGAATATGGGTGGTTAGAGCTTCTGGGTCTATGATTGTCTGTGACTGATGGCGCATGTGAGGGTGGCGACTCTTCACCTCAGATTAGTGTTCCCATGGAGCACGCAGCATTGACTTGCCAGAGCATTTTCTCTTCACAGGGTTCCAAGCCTTGATATTCGTCAGCCTCGTACTCTCACAGCTACGCACACAAATAAGCCCGTAAATCCAGGCGAGCAGCCAGTCTTCCGTCCTCGTTGCAACCAGGTCTTCAGCTCTTTCACGTTTCCTGGAGCCGCTACACTTGTATAAAACATGCGCTAATGAGACAAAAAACATCCAAGAATCCCATTACCTGCTCCATTTCAGATCATTTGCATCCTGGCGTGCTGGATTCTACGGAACCTGCAGCTCACACGCCGTGCCCCTGCCCTCTCGGGGCCAAACTGTTCAGATTGGGCCAAAGGTTTTTGCGAAAGCAAGGAAGGTTTTGCAGAAACCCTACCCCTTCAACTAAACTCGGCCTCTCCCTAATGCCGGAGGGGATCCGGAGCCAGACCTGTACTTCATATTGTACCAGTCTACCGTGCATCGGCTCTTGCGACCACTGATTTTTGCTAGGAAAGACGCTATCAAACGGGCTTAAACTCTAGCTTGCTACGAGATACATCCTGATGGGTAATCGGCAGACCACCAGGCCTCGATCAAGCCAGCTCTCCAGCGCTTTTGCATCTGTCCGCGCGGCCAACGAAAAAATGTCAAAGGGTTCAGGGTTCTTTTGCCGTCCGCCAAAGCACTCTCTCTCTCTCTCTCTTTCTCTCTGCCGCGCCATCCCTAGGGTCTTGCTTTACGCCAAATCACTGCAGCGATAATTTCAGAGGACGACTAGGTTCAGGGGTTTCGGGGGCCCCAGACAGCTTCGCACTAACACACGCCTGATGTGCAAATGACCAGGCTCCAAATTTCCTTCACTCGATGCCATCACTACACAACATCGACTGAACCCCAAAGAATCCAGCTTGTGTTTATGCCGATCTGGGGGCTGTCTCAAATGCAAGTGTTGTTTTGTCTTCTGCCTTCTACTGCCTTGTCTTGTTGTCTTCTTCTGGGCATTGGTGGATGTGTGCTCTCACTGGGCGCTTTCTAGCCATGCTTCTTCAATCGACAATGAGGACAGTCACTCTTGCACGCAGCCAGTAAGGCTAACATAATGAAGACCCTAAATACAGGTTTGACGGCTTCCTGCGGCATTCCAGAGCCCCATCTTCCCTCTGTTCTTGTTGGCGCACTTGTGAGACTTTTGCCCACATGCCAGGATTGACCGATGAGAATGAGAAGCGGGTGTTGGCGGGTGTAGGCGGTCTCATGTGGCACTGACCAAACATGCCCGGCCTTGTTGCGGCGAGCCTTGCAACATGCGCTCCTCCATGGCATCCTTCAGTGCAAGGAAGCGATTTTTTGGTGTCACGAGCCCTGAGTCATAATTGTGTCCAGGTAGGATTCTGACTTCCAGCCGCGGAGCACCGTCACCGGTCAATCGCCGCTGCACGCCTCAAACACATGTCGCAGAATCGTTTATGAAGATGAGATGGGATAAGAGCGGGGCTCCTTAACTCTGGTCTCTAGTCCCAGACACTCCCTGCTACTCTGCTCCTTTGCTCCGCGCACGCATACGGTTTCAACAAAGCAAGGGTAAACCGGTAACCCCCACTTGCAAGACAGCTGCAATATGCCTCTCAATGCCCTAAAAAAAAGCCAGGGCCTGCCCCGCTGCACACAGATGGCCTTCCACTCGACCTGAAGCAAAGGGAGTGCTGTCCACTCATTGTTTTTGGGAAACACGGTGGGCACCCCAAGACTACGAGGGCCCAGAAGATTGTGCCTTGCAAGGGGGAACATCTTAGAGTCTTAGAGCTTCACTTTTGAGCTGGGACCTTGTACCAACATGGCAATAAACGAGTGGGCATCTTGTCACAGTTCAGCAGCCTACTGGCCGACGGAGCCTGGACATGTAACCCCTTCCAGATATGAAAAACAAGCACGCGCGTTCATAACATCTTCAGGCATCCCTGACGCTAAACAACTGGGACGGCTGCAGGCACTCGACACACTCTCCTGCAATCCAGGCCGCGGACGTGATTTGAAAGGAATGGGCTGTGCAGGTGAAAGTTTTCGAGTTTCGAGCTACTCTTTATTTACACATGTACTTTGTAAGCTATATAGAGATCTCACATCCATGCATGTTCACTGCAAGTCCGGCATCTTTCTGCTCTAGAGAGGATCTAGTTCCGCTGCGGCGTTCCAGTTGACGGCGCAGCCGCACAGGACTTTTCGAAGTGTTGCTCCAAACTCTTTTCAACCTGCAGCACGTTCACATAAGTGGAGCATGCCGTCCTGGTGCTGGAAGTTCCTCCTCAAGCGCTAAGCCTGGAAAGGCCCACTTTGCAGCACAAAGTCAAGTCAGATGTAGGGCTGGGATTAGGTGATTCAGTGGGCTGCGTGGGATGTTCAGCCGAGCCAGCCCTCCCGGCCGGAATGACTTTTGGCGCTTGTCAGTTTCACGTGTAGCACACAAAGCAAGAGAAGTATCCTGACTACACGCTGCTAGAAGAGTGAAGGGCATGCTTGTGACGTAGTTTTGGACAATCTGGGTGTATGTAGGCAGGCAACTGTATCTCGGAGCCGGTGCCCGAGGTACATCGCACACTTGACGATGCGCATCCACACAAAACTGCAAGCTTTGAAGCCTGAAGAATTCTTCAAGATTGAGGCGAAGTTACTGAGGCGAAGTTAAAACGATAGAGACGACAGTGCCCGAGACCGCCAAGGCAGCTTTCCTTCCCGAAATGCAAAATCCGGGCCTTTTGAGAATCTTCAAACTTCAGGGCATTTGCCATGTGGGCTACCTTCAGAGAAACCAGAAGGGAACTGGCCTGTCAGCCCCGGAGGTGATTGGCGGTCCTGGCTGTAGCGGTCTAGGGCAGAGCGGTGTAACCGAAGCCAGATCGTTCCTGTATGGAAGCTCATGTCATGCAGCTTCAGAACACAACTGACACGGAATCACCATGGCCGCGCTACCAACATGCCTTCACTTTCAACTTCGCTTGCCCCCCCAATCTGAGCCACGGGAGTTTCAACCAAAGTCCAAGCGAGCCCAAGATTAGAACGTGCAAGCCAGTGTATGCACGTCCTCCGTTGTTTGAGGGGATGGTTGGCGGACTGATTTTGGTGGCAACCCGGGCCTTGACCGGCCTCATCGGTGCTACAACCTTGGCTCGCGGGATTCTTTCGGTGTTTAGAAGGATACGCGACAAGGTGGAAAGGGGTCATCACATCAGCGAGAATCCAACTGACATCTAGGGTGCACCAGCCCTCCCCTTCCTCCATGATATCCCCCTCCCCCCCCCCCCCCCCCCCCCCCCCCCCCGCCTTGACCTGCGGTCCAGTACTCGGGCCGTGACAGTTTTCCGAAACTTCCAGGTCTGTTTGTGAAGGGGTCTTTTTTATCCAGTGGTGCTCAGCTGGTTTGGTTATGGGCATCGTACTTCACGCATGCAATCGTTTTGTTTCTGCTATCCTTTGCAAAGTTTCAATCCGCTGCTACCTGCATCTGCCAGGCCGCAGCTTGCCTAGCCCCACAGACCAGGAGACCCAGGATGCAGACGACAGGAGGTGCAGCCCGAGTGGAGGACGGCCAAGGAGTACAAAGTACCACGACAAGCCTATACAAACATAATGCAAATGTAAAACAACTCGGCCCCTCGGGGTCCGTTTCGCTCATGCCATCACTTCAACATCGCTCTCATAACCTATTCACACTAAGCCCAAGACTCACAGACTCACACACACACACAGAGACACAAAATCAATCACACAATCACACAATCACACAATCACACAATCACACACTCACACAATCACACAATCACACATTCACACAATCACACACTCACACACTCACACACTCAAACACCCACACACCCACACACCCACACACACCCACACACCCACACACCCACACACACCCACACACCCACACACACCCACACACCCACACACACCCACACACCCACACACCCACACTCCCCCACACCCACCCACACACACACAATCACACACAATCACACACAATCACACACAATCACACACAATCACACACAATCACACACAATCACACACAATCACACACAATCACACACAATCACACACACTCACACACACTCACACACACTCTCACACACACTCACACACAATCACAAACACAATCACACACACAATCACACACACAATCACAAACACAATCAAACACAATCACAAACACAATCACACACAATCACACACAATCACACACAATCACACACAATCACACACAATCACACACAATCACACACACACACACACACTCACTCACTCACTCACTCACACACAGACACACAAAATCACACAATCATACACACACACACACACACACACACACACACACACACCCCCACGCATGCACGCACGCACGCCCACGCCCACGCCCACCCACACACACACACACACACACACACACACACACACACACACACACACACACACACACACACACACACACCCACGCATGCACGCACGCACGCCCACGCCCACGCCCACACCCACACCCACACCCACACGCACACGCACACGCACACGGCACAGGCACACGGCACAGGCAAACGGCAACGGCAACGGCACAGGCACAGGCACAGGCACAGGCACAGGCACACGCACACGCACAGAGACAGACAGACAGACAGACAGACAGACAGAAAGACAGACAGACAGACAGACAGACAGACAGACACACACACACACACACACATACACAGCCCAAACCTGAAGCTGATCCAAACGAAGTAGCGAGCTGGGATCACTATGTGAGGTTGCTTGTTCCCGTTTGCCGTCGCAATACCAAATTCTCAGAAACCATCTTCTACATACAGCTGCGCAAGGTCAATTTGGAATGCGACTGGCAAGAACCCTCTGGGATGCTAACTGCCACAGCCAGGCACGTCGCGAGGCTGAAGACGACTGCTGCCGAGATACACCTGTCCCACTTTATCGTAGTAGCATCCGGGACCCTGCGTCCTCGATCGGTTCGCCTAATGTCTTCCAAAAACAAACCTTATTCACAGCCTTGAGCAAAGCCCACATGGTTATGCTGTTTCTAGGGCCTTCCTGCCCATTCGACTTCTTATGGATCCAATGGGTCATCAAATATCCATAGGTTCCTCGTACTTTGGATATGGAAGTCGGAGCCAGTTCGACCAAGCAGCGAAGCTGTTTTTGGGTAAAGTCATGCTTTTGGAGGTACACATAATGAAATTCAAACGCAAAAACCGCTTGGAATTTCAATTGTGAATAGGCTTTTTGGGGGTGGCATGGCTCGCCATAATAATATTTTTATCTCACCCTCCCTTTCCCATTATTTCCCCGCGCAACACTACATAATTTCTGAGCGCGGCAACAGTTTATACGGGCGCTACTAAACAAAGAATGATGTTGGCACCCGAAGATAATTAGACTATAATTTACAGTATGCGTACACCGGCTGCCTGCCCTTCCAAGCGCTCATCACATCCTGGTGCGCCGGCCCTGCCTGGCTGGCTACTTATTTCTGGCACAAACAGCAGGGAGGAAGTTGGGCTGCAAGCACAGCTTAGGTGGTGTACGCAAGTTCGAATCCTTGACAGGGTTCGGGAAGATTGTGCTTATGGAGCACCGTCACGAGCCAAACCCATAAACATTACAAGATTGCGGTATGAGATATGACAAGGGGCGGCTGCTCGCTTTACAAACCCAGTTTAACGCAAGGCCGGAAGCAGCAAACAAGTCTATCAGGACTTCTTCAGTAGCCGTCGTACAGGGGGGTTGGTATCTGCTGGATGGGGATCAGCTGCGACTCAATGCCGAGGATGGCGCACACGTGGCGCAGCGCACGCCGGGACCCAAAGCCTGATGCAATTTGCCAAGCTCCATTCCAACTTTCATCTAGATAACCAACCAACCTCATACATCGCATGCCAATTAGTGAGATTACGGGAGGACCGCATGGAGGCAGTCCCAACCTCAGAACCCTCAGCAGTCGTGAAGTCAGTCCTCCGCATCTGGGTCGCCTTTGACCGCCAGGGCGGAATAAGATCTGAGCACCATGACCTCAGACATGCACTTCTTGGCCAAGCTACCGCTTGGACGATTAGACATGAACAAGTCGTGGAATCTAAGACTCCTTAAAAAAGCATGTGCTGGCAGCCAACCAACTTAAGTCAAACCTATACACAGCAGGTGTGCTGAGAAGGCACGCCAAGAGCTCCGGTAGCACCCCAGTGGTGCAGCCGCCAACCAGGCTCGAACCAGAAAGAACCCAACGCTCAGCAATCGGTCACACCGCTAGTTTTAGCAACGCGGGCTTCGCGGCCTCAACACATGATCAGGCATTTGGCTTGCACATGCGGATGCAAGAGCGAAGTTCCGTGTCATGGACGCAGCTCCGTCCAATTATTAGACCCATCGAGACTTAGCAACAAATTCTCAAATTTGAGTACTATGCATTGGAACAAAAGCCCCTCCCAAATCCGAAAGCCATGTGCCCGCACAACGACTGACTTGCACAGCTTTGGGGAGCCTCGTGCTCAATTTGGCGTGCTGCTGTAGGGTGTGACAAGAATTCTTCTCCCACTATCTAGAGTTGAGCAACGGGAGGCTAAATCTCAGCTCGGCATCACTGCAACAGTCGCAAAGAGGAGTCCTCGGAGAGCTGGTGGCTGAGGCGGCCGGCAAAACACCTCCCGCGTTGGAGAAGATTCTGCTGCAGAATTTGTTTAACTAGTTCTCTCTCTCTCTCTCTCTCCGCACGCTTAGCCCCCCCCGAAGGAGGAGCTGCCCCGAGGGGCGCGCCAGTCCCAAGTGTCATGCGGTTCGGGGCTGCGGTTTTCGCAGCCGTGCCAGGTTGGGGTTTCTGTCTGAAAAGGGGGTGTATCCAGGCCAAGTATGAATGAGAAGGGAGTACCGGGGTTTTAATCGGGCAGTCAGTCCCCCCTCTGTGCTCCTGGCCAAAAGAGAATCCCCTATCTTTCATTCTTTTCTCTCTCTCTCTTTCCTCTCTCTCTGCCGCTGCATCCCAAAGGTCCCACTGCGTGAGGCAGTTTAACTAGTTCTGTCATAGTTTTTCTAGAATAGCTGCTAGAATTGGCATCGGATCAGTTGGAAGATCGGCGATGTGGGCCCAGGCAGTTGCACGGACACGTGGGTGTGTGGACTCACTGACGCCACTTTGGTAAAGCAAATCCATGAAACTGGAAAACAAACAAGCCGTACGCCAAAGACAGGACTTACCGGCGACTGAAAGCTTCAATGCCGACAGGGAACATATACCAACGGTTGAGACACGCCAAGGAAAGTCAGCGCATGCGAAGCTTGGGATTGTGGGCCAGCCCCTGCGCTGGGTTCTTTTGACTATTGCAAAACGAGTGATTGCGTTTAGCTGCCTGCTTTGCATGGTTTTGCTCTTGGAGAGGGGGATTCAAAGCTGTTACTTGTGGGCTGCCTGCGACTTTCATCCTTCAGGATGTAGTCCCACCTCACAGCAACAGCAGCTTCGAGTGTGCCGATATGGTCAAGCAAAGAAACGAGGCACTGGGTTCTCAAAGCTGAATTACCCTGCATAAGACTCAATGGAAAAGTCTCTCGAAGTAATGCCTCTTTGACGTACCAGGACACAAGGTGCAACGCCGGAACTCTGCAGCCCTCTTGACATGAGGCTCAAAAAGCTCCCCTAAGCCCCAACCTTTCTCTGAATCCTGAGGCTCAGTATACCAGGTAGCGAAACCAACCACACATACTCCAGGCATGTGCTGAGGCCCGAAACCCACACTGCGGCGCCTCGTTGCATCTTTTAGGATCATAGACGGGTCAGGTAAAACAAAACAAACGGGCTGCGACCTGGCTACAGTGCCAAGAAGGCTTGTGTCCTGCAAGGGCAAGGAACAAGATTGAGAATTCTATCATCGAAAATGGATGATTGTTCTGATGATGTCAATTCATTAACAGGCGTTGAATTCTCATGTATATTTCTGATCTTGGATTTGTTCCGTATATTTCTTTAATTCGCATGGTGGTGAATTTTCTTTAGCTGAATATATGGAATAATGACGACATTCTTTTAGGAGCTTGTCAGAAGCTTGTCTTCTTCATGATCTATGAAATGGTGGATGGGATCTGGGAATTCAAATTCATTCCTAACCGGGCTTCACGGCTTCAGGGTCTGACGGGAGACGTTTCGTGCTCCGCAAGGGTGATTGAGTTGCTCAGATCTGAAAGCCACAAGACCCAGCACCCCCAAAGGGCCAAGCCCCAATCCCCCAAAATCCCCCCAAACCCCAAAGGTGGAATTCATGCATCTTGAGAATCACTTATGAGAATCACGCCTGATCACCGATGAGCTTCAGGGGGCCGCCCATCGCTGGACCCTGGCAAAACCGGCGAGGTGACAAGGCTTGTAGCGGTGATATGTTTGGCCCCAGATGACAACGCAACAGGCCGTACTGTATTCAGGGACACAGCGCAAGTGGCCGGATTTTGCCGAATCAAAGCTAAGCAGCCGTGCTGAAAATGAAGCACTGAAACGACAATGTGCTTAAAATGAAGCCAATACACAACAACATATTGCCTGGAGCCATATCACAACAAAACCAAATGTCGAGTTACTTTGGGGATATGTTGGGATCGCTGGGAAGCGCCACACAACGGTTAGCATGGTCAAAGTAGCGAAGCCGAAGGCCTTTGAAAAGGCCGGCTGTTTTGGCACGGGGGAATATCAGTCACGTACAGTACTGACCACTATGTCCTAAACACTCTGAAGCAACTTCTGCAAGCAACTGGCTGCCACGGATCGCAAATTGTGGAGTCCGAGGCTTACGATGAGGACCATGGAGACTTGTTCTTAGTCACTCGACGGGAGGCTCGCAGCCTAACAGCTTGGACATTGCAGGGACCGGAAACCAGAAGTTTCAAGAGACCGACAAGGAAACAAGCAACGAACATGGTGTGTATCGTCCATTGGCTCATCTGCAGAGTGCATCTTGGCATGGTGTGAGTCCCCTGGTGCGCTGGCATGCGCTGACACCTCCGTAGGCTTGTCCGCCGCCTTGTCGGCCTCTGCTGGGTTAAGTTCTACCATTGCGCCTGACATTCACGGAGGGTAGAAGAAAGGTGCCAGCTTGAGGGTGCCTTTTGCATGTGTCTAACATTCTCCATTCGCAAGCTCCACTTAGCTTTGTGTTGCACTTCAGCTTCAATAGGCCCTAACCTGAATCAACAAAAAAACTGACCTGCTCGGTGTCGGCACGCTTTCCGCTGTACTCTTGACCTGGGCATAAGACGACAAGGGGTGACTTGCTTCTCGGACCAGGGTGCCATTTTCTTGGAACGGGGCTTATGAGGGATCCTAACAGGACAACGGGTACTTCTGGGCATCCTGGTTGCCACAAATCGTACAAACCAAGGCAGCGCCACATCCAAAATCATGCTGGCAGCAGGCCAAGACACCAGCACACCGAATAGACCCAGCAGGGCTAAGAGAATATACTGTAGGGGTTTGGAACTTTATGCTGATGATCTCAGCCTGACGGTTGATCATTTTCAATTCTCATCCCTGTATGACCCCGCTTCAACAGCTCAGATGTGCAAGCTGCAGCCTTCAAGCTGTGACCACCGCCTTTTTAAACCCATTACCAAACTCGTTACATCGAAGCTGGCCAATCTCAGGGTGGGGGATCGGGTTCACACTCCGGGTCATCCCGGCGGAGGCGGTCGTTGCGGGGAATCCTGTCGAAGCTTCGGCCTTAAATGCGAGATTAAAAAGGATGCCCCGTGCACTGAAATCAGAATTCTGCCATGCTGTGCTGTGGCACGCCCTCCCCAGTCTCAGCTGGCAGACTCCGGCTTCGGCTTTTCCGCCGGTTGCTTCGGCTTCGCCGGCGGGGGCTGCGCCGGGGGCTACGCCGTGGGCTGCGACGTGGGCTGCGCCGGGGACTTCGCCGGGGACTTCGCCGCGGGCTGCGGCCTTGGAACGAAACATGTACAGCCCTTGCAAGATTGACCCAGGGCAAACCATGATTATCAAGGCTTGAAGGTTTGAGTGGTTGATGGCACCAACAACGTCAGGAGCAAGTGTGCCCTGTGGCACTGCAACTCACTTGCTCACGAAGGTGGTGGTTTCGAAGCTTCCCTTTCCCTGTTTTTTAAGGTCAGGCATGAGTTGGGCGCATCAGGGTGTGGTGTCCCTCTTGAAAAGCGATCCCAGATTCGACTCGTCAACAGCGGGAAGTTTCCAAGCCCCCATGTTAATAACCTCGACCTACGTTAAACATCTGACGCTCCACGAAGGCGAGGCCGTCCCTACATGCGCCCCGAATGAGGGAATGGAGCACAGTGTTACCCAACAACCAAACCAAACTAGCTGATGCCCACGCAAAAAACCCCCCGAAGCCACAAACCCGGAACCCCCAGGTCAAGCTCAGCCAGTTGCGTCTCCGGCTAGGACTCCTCCGACGGCGGCTGGGACTTCGCCGCCGTCTGCTAGGACTCCTCGGGGTGTTCAGGAAATTCCAATCACTTCAATCATTTCAGACCCCGGCCGGGCTCGAGATCTCATTTTGTAAGAGGTGAGACGATGTGTTGTTGGCTTAAGTTGTTTGCCGCCGCTTATTCTCTGAGCCCGGAAATCCTGTCAGCTTCCTCAAGATAACCTCTGCCCAACACCTTCAACATTCACAGCCCTGTTCGAAAGGACGCAAATTTAAGGTCTCGAAGGGTTCGGCAAAACCTGCCGACCCGTCCGAACGCGATGTTTGAGCCTTAAACTGCGGGTCTGAACAACCAGAAGGCACTTGCAAGTGCACAGGGCTTGCAGCTTGCACGGAAGATCCCAGTGTTCTTGCATAGCTGAAATCTTCGGTGATCTTGGGTCACTGTGGGTGCGCCATGTCCTTCGGCTTCTCTGAGGTCGGCGATCTTTGGCACCTTCCTGCGGGCGTTAGACAAGCTGAGCCCAGCGCACAGTACCCTGAACCCTACCGTATCAGAGTCAAGCCCGGACTGTGCTAAGCCAGGCTTGATTGAACCCTCCATCCCTCAATCAACTCGTCTTGTGCCTTATCTGCGTGGAGCTGTGTTGCTGGCTGCTTCGTACTGTCGACATGTCATTCTACAACCCCAACTTCGTGATGAGAGCATTTGCAAGGATTTCGAGCAGCAGCTTGCTTGGGGATTTCCAGGTGGCGGCGTCCTAGCTTGGTTTCACTGGGTGACGGATCCGGTGACTTCTGTGAAGGTTTTGCGGCACTTGATGGTAAGGGTCTGTAAGAGTGTGCCGGTATGTCGTGTTTGTAGGGTCCTGTGGGTCCAATCCCTGGTACCTTGAAATTTTGGGCACCCCACATGGACCCAAACTCCAAGACCAACGCCTCCTCGTTCACCACCCAGCGTGGCTTCATCTTCTCCTGCTTGAGGCCCAGGCTGTTGGCTTAGGGAGCATACTGGGTATGCTACAAGGGGTTCGACGGAATGTTCATCTGACTCTGCTGCCACTCCCGGGGTTCGAACATGTTGGCGACCGTTTACCGACCACAGAGCAAGAAGGTGCCACACTTGTCCGAGCGAGATGGCTCACGGATTTACGTGGTGCAGAGAGCATTCAGTAGTTTCCGTAGAATTCCCCAACAAAAAACCAGCTGTAGACCCCTGCTGGTCAGGAACACAGCACAATATACTTAGCAACAAGGAGGAGCTGCAACTCAGCCGCACTCGCTTTCAAAAGAAGCCCAAACTCAGCTGGCAGCACCCTCCAGAAGGATTCGATCTCGTCCGCCTCATCGACAGAATGCTTTGTATGCAATATGCAATCTCATGCTATCTTTTGCATGAGTATTGAGTATACTTCGAGTTTCAGAATGCAATTTGAAGCTTGCCGCAGCTGAACAGGCAACTCTCCAGCGCCACTACTTAAAAAACAAAAGAAGCAAGGCAGCTTCGCGTCAGTAGACACATAGGCTGTGATATTCGTTTATTCTTCCAAAGACGGTTCCGTCATCCTCCGAACTGCACACAGTGCCAGGCAAGATCCGTGTTATTCGGACGGATGCCCTTGACTTGACACGCAGCTGTGCCCGAGCAGCCCCGCACTTTCCATCACAAGGACATGCCTTACCTCGATATAATTCTCTCCTCATCGAGAATGTTGCGAAGGGTCATCTGCTCCGTCGCTGGATCCGAGTATGGTACCACAACGGGCCCCAGCGCAATCCCAATGTCAGGTAAGATGCTCTAGGGCATCATCCGTTCGGGAAGACAGCACACACCAGTCATGCTGACCCTCAAAGATCCTGAAAGCTGAGGCCTTTGGTTCCTCATCATTCCTCATCGGAACCCTATCACATATCAGGATGTTTTCTGAACAAGCCCACAAAAAGAGCCCGGAAGCCAATCATCCATCCTCCCGTACGCCCTAGGTCGCCTTCATCTGGTCCTGAAAGCGCTTGGTCAGCTCCGAAAAGCTGAAATACCTTTTGTCGCAGGGCGCATGTTTGGGTTCCAGAAGGGGGTTTGCGTTCGACACGCCGCTTGTACATGCTGTTAGGATGGTTTCAGGCCAGGCTCCAAAGCTGAAAACCTGGGTGACTGCGCAGGTCGCAGGCGATGCAGAAAGGTTCCGCTATGAACAAAGATTCGGTTCCGGAGCTGTGAAAGAGAAGGCGTGAACTCAACTGACATCCAGCCACTCAACCGCTTCGCTGTCATGAGCCCGTGGCTGTTTCAGCTCAGGATGTCTGCGCGTCTCATCTTGCCTGGACTCTTAAAGCTGTCTGAGACTACAGCTTTGCCATACGCTTCTGCAATGCTCAGGCCCTGTTGGAAGGCCTCCCGCACGCCGATGTGCAACGCTGAATTAAGTGCTCGACCGGATGGGGCCGCCATCGTCCTTCCACGTGGCCTGCTGCTGTCATGTGCACATATGTATCATATAGGCAAACAACCTTCAAGGGGGACTTCTTGGTTTGCATGTTGCGGGGCTTCCTCCGCAACCGGAAGCGACTGATCATGCACTCAGAGTAGTATAATTTAACTCTTGTAGAAAGGACGTGAAGGATCTGACCACCAGCCCTGGCTTGGGGCATCCAGATTGGTCTTCGGCCTTGGACTTTGACTTTGCCGGGGAGGTGGAGCTCTTCCGAGCCGACGCCTCACGTTGCATTCGCACTTCCCAGGGCTTCATATGAGAGAGCCCAAAGAGGTCGATGATTTGAAGGGCTGTCAGTCGTAAACAACGAACTTGTTTCTAAGGACTTCGCGGGTTAAGGATTCGGGTTGATCTAGAAACCTGCGAACAGCTTTCCTTCTCTACTTCCAGATACTTCGATCCCAACATTCAGCTTTTTCTGAATGGCCCGCCGTGAGGACATTCTCAACGACTTTCCGTTGACGAAGGGGAAGAACAAATTGTCAGTGGGATGTAGCAGCTCAACATCCTTCATTTCTTGGGCAGGGGCATCAGGACATTACAAGAGAAGCTGTATGAGAGAATAAAGGCCGATGGGAAAGGCTGGATAGGTTGATAGGTTACATGTTGGAGATACTGGCACGCTGTAGGAACAAAGAAAAGCATCACACAAGCAACATGAATAAAACAAATATTAATTCCACTACAATCGGTATCTGAGCGGAGGTACTTGATGTCGGTGATAAGGCTAACGCGACAACAAGGGCAACAAAACGTAGGGAAAGTATCGATTAGATGGACGAAGAGACAAAGGAGGGGGAGGTGTCTGGCTTCGTACAACCCACAATGGAAAGATATTGAAACCCTGCTTCGAACGGAAAACATTAACGATTGAAAGGATCACACCTCGGATTCGAGGCAGGAGTTGTTCAACACTCACAACATTCAGAAAGATGCTGAGAAAACTACTGCTACACACGGCGACTATCTCAGACTATCTGCATTCATATGCTATTTACGAGCAAAGTCAAAGAAGCGGAACGGTACCAATATACATACATATATATATGCATAATGTACATATTGATGCTTGAATGTATTTACATGTTTTCTTACTCATACATACGCATACCTGGTGACATGTGTCATGGAACAAAGGAACCATGATGAACAATGGCGCTGGCTTTTTGTTTCGTGAATTAACTTGAAGCCTGTCCCAAGATGTGGCAAATTACGCAAGCGGCAATGAAAAGGAGAGCTACGAAACTCTGACTGCTCAGATTTTTCAAGCGTATGTGGTGCTCTTATGACAATGCAGGCTTAAAGGAGGAACAGCGGTCCGTGTTTAGGATGACATGGGCGTTATCTAGCTGACTCCTCCTCCACCCCCCCCCCCCTCCCCCCTCCCAAAGAAAAAAAACAACTCGCCTCCTTCCTTCGCGCCAGCAGGTGAGGGCCTGGGCCGACCTTCAAGGCTTCCACCACCCACTTGGGCTTCATCTTCTCCCTGGCTTCAGCATTGATAGACGTGGGGCACTCCAGTCAACTCAATCGCTCGATCGACCGTGCTTCAGGCACTTGACGACTTGGCAGATGCCGACGACTTTAAAAACTGTGGGGAGGAAACTCCCAGCAGGCAAGTGCATCTCTGCGAATGAGCCATTCTCAGACACCCCGGAACACGTGCCGCCTCCAAAACTTTCGGGCATGGCCAAGTTGAGCCTCGTTCAGCGTTACGCCTTCGCCTGCCAAAGCCAGCTATATCCACTCCATGATTCCTGTGATGGGCTGAGGGCTGGAGCAGCTCGAGGTTTGCATTTCGCTCGAGTGCTGACGATAGGTGGCCTGCGCTTTCACTAGTTTTCAGCCTTCCTTGTTGCATACCTCGTTGTGCTCGTGACGCTTCTATAAACCTCTCAGATGAGGCCTCCAACCTTCACCTTGAGCTGCTCAAAGGTGTAGTACCTGCAGTTGCAAGCTCATCTCATCGTGATCACAGAGCCCGTGGTGCTCTACATGCCAAGCATGATAAAGCCAGTAGCTCATTCTGAAAGTTGCAAGAGCTGATGCTGACCTGCTGGCTTCCACACTTGGGGCTGCAACGTCACAGGATAGCTCAGACGGCTGATCGGTGGGTAATCATCCACGGACTTACGAGTTAAGAGCATCGCAGCTACTAACGACTACCTACGTCATTTTTTCTAACCACAAACGAAGTTGTCCAAGCACTGCGATGAGGGCTGGACTCGTCATCTGCTGGATGCTGGCGCAGCCTAAGAACTCCCCAGGAAAGCGAGCATACGATCTAAACTTCAAGTGCTGCTAGCCGTGACAATGACGGGCGAGTTGCTCTTCTGCGTTGACATCCTCACCCTCATCCTTCCACTCTTCGGCCTCTGCAGGGCGCAGCAGTGCGGACATGGCAGTTGCTCCCCGAGAAGCAGCGTCATCGAACTCGATTTGGAGGGCGGGTTCCAGTTTCTACAGTACGGTAGGAGGTTCGCTCTCACCCACCAACACGCACATTGCGCCCCAGTAAGGTCCGAGATCCACAAGGTCAAACATCCAAAAAACTGTCACCACGACTCGACACAAGGATTCTGCTTCCACTCATGACAGACGACGAAGTTACTGGCATCAGAGTTCTACAGCTGCAAACCCACAACTCCACAAGACTGTCGCAAGACTTGCCTTGATGTACTGCAGTTCTTGGACCTCAGCAGACACGAGCACGTCTTCGTGCACCGCGCGAGGGCTTAAAGCTCCGCTTGGCGATCGAAAAGCTGCTCGGGTTGTACCATGCAAAGGCTTTTGGCTTCAGGTTGAGGGATCAGGCCAAACAAACGGTCTAGTTAACATGCCGGCGAGTCAACCTGATGCTTCGTAGAACCGCAAGATGGAAATTGCAGAGTGAAATGGTGCTTTGCCAGTCGCGTACAGACATGTCCGTTCCACTGAAATGCGGTGTTGCACTCCAGGACCATGATCAGCCCACTGCTCCAGCTCCCTGGTCTGAGGGTCCAGCCACCCACTCTGGCCTCATCTGCTCGCGCCAGAGCTTCTCCAGCTCCTGCGCGCCCATGCCAAAAGCGTGCAAAGTACTCGGCGGCCTGACGCTGGCGGGAATATCATGCATAGCGGGCAGGATGAAGACTTACAGGACTCAACCCTGAGCATGCGCACCGCAAGACTCCCATCAGATGTTAAGCTAATTCAGTTGATGACATCACGACGCGTCTGAGCCGATACTGTCCGTTGCAGACTGGAAAGCTCGAGCTAGAAAACAACTTGTGTTTTGAAAAGGCACCAACAAGAGCCATTTTGTGAACAACAATCTGCACAGGACGAGACAAACACGGAGAAGGCGCGGAGACACGTTTACAACGAAGAGCTCGGAGCCTTCCTTGTCTTTGAAGTAGGTAGCAACAGTACGTAAGTTCGCAAGCTGATTGCTGTTGTGTTCGCTCTGATGACTTTGCTTCAAACCGTAACCAACCCGAAACTCATCAAACGTGCTAGTCATAAGTCCACTTTTTCCCTATAATCCCTTTCTCCGAACCCAAGGGAAGCTGAGGACACACTCCCCTAAGGGGAATCCACGCCAGCGACCTCGGCAGCGGAGTCAGGTTGCTTGGCCTTCAGCTCCTCGAACGTGCAGGGCCTTCAGGGGCTTCCATTCGATGCATGACATATCATGACATGGTGCTGCATGAACTGGATCGTCTACTGCGTTTGTCGGAGCAGAGGCATTGGCTGCGAGCTTTCTGGCGGCAGCCTTTTCTCGTCCTTAGCTGCACGTGTCTGTGCGCGTTCAAATTCTGGACCAAGTGGTGGAAAGCACCGAGTCTTGTATGGGATTTCGATTGGAAGCCGTATCGCACACTCTCAGGCTGGTACCGCCTTGATGGCACTTCCATCATCCTCGAAGTCAGAGTTGGAGAGAGGGTCTCTTGGGCTCGAGGTTTGTTGGAGACTGAACTAACGATACGCATGGCCTTAAACGGTGACAGCACACCATCTGCTTCTGATGGTGGAAGCAACGACTAACAGGCACGTCATCAAGAGTAGCCTCAACAACTAATTCTCATGCTCCAACTCCGAGTCAGGTCCTTCCAGGTGGCCGCATCTGGGATGGGAGCCTCTGCAAAGGCCCTCTGCGAATGATCTGTTTGCGCAGCAGCTTAGTGCAGCTCACAGCGTGTATCACAGACCCCTTCCCCCCTCTGCCCTTCGCCTTGACCTGGGTGAGGTCTGTGAGCGGCCGTGCAAGAGCTGTGTCCTGTAGAGCTGGAGAGCAAAGCGGCGCTCTAAGGCTAAAGACACGAAGGCTCGGGTTCGGCTGTGGGGCTGTTTTTATCGGAGGCTGCCGGGCTTGCGGGTGTTGGAGCTGTATCCACCGTACGAATTACTGCCCTATCAGTGGATAGACTCGGATAGACGCCATGATCTCGAAAGTCTGCTCCGCTTTCGAAACGCGGACATGCAAGACACAGCTAAAGACTGATGCCCAGCGGCCCCAGCTATTTCTCAACAACCGTCCTGAATCACAGCTTCTGGTCGCGACAACATAACGCAATGACCGACACAACTAAGTAGCACGGGGATTCAGGCAAAAAGAAAGATCAGTCACGGCTATGACCCAGAGACTTGTCGCTTTGAGCCGGCTTGTGGCCTTCAGGACCCCAAAACGCAGAGCCCCACTCAGCAACCGGCCACCCACTCGGGTCGCATCTTCTCACGCCAGAAGGGCTCCAGTTCCTGGTGAGGAAGGAAGAGAGGGAATGGCAGTCTCAACAAAATTGCGAAGATTGCCTAAAGGCTTGGAACGCGTTCCTTTCTCCCGCAGCTCACTGAAGACCTGTTGGCCCCAGAGCTACAGCCACAGCGACACAACGAGGTTGTGAGAAGCTCTATCCCTTAACTACATGCAACACACCCAAAAACACGAGAAACACAAACAAAACTCTCTTCCTTCCTCCCTGTCCTGTTTTGGCGCCGTGCAGCCAGCATATTTTTTGTGGAAGTGGAGGCAGAGCTCGTTGAGATTTGCGTGGGATGAGTGGAGAGTTCTCATGAAGAAGTTAGCAGCCACGAGTAACTGATTTAAACCGTATGCCAGAAACAGAAGAAGATAAAGATAACAATAAGAAATAAGCTGCGATTGCACAAATGAAGCTGCAGAACGTGGACTGAACTAAATGCTTTGCTGCTGTTGCTTACTGCCTTCGCTCCACACAAAGAGTATGCGCCAACAGCGATGATGAACCAAGGACCAACTTAAACAACTGCAAAGCTGAGTCAGCACCTGTAGTTTCCGAGAACGAGGCCTCTTTTCGGTTACACGAGGTAGCCTGTGAAACCAACTGGCCTACGCATCATCAGCCCGATGCCAAGAGGCTACAAACTAGAATAGTGGGAGCTGGGGTTTTCAGACTCGCGAACCCTAAGCCGCCCAAGCCCGAAGCCCCTGGTGACCATCACAAAGGTCCCTGACCCGGAAGATCGCCTCTGGCTTCAGCTTTTCGCTGAACTTCTCCTGCAGAAAACCGGTCCCTGTCTTTTGAACATCCCCCAGCCTCTGTAGGCATCTGACAAAGCCCCCCCCCCCCCCCCCCAAGATACTGAGGCTACATTCTCGGATCTCTCAGGCACCAATGTGAGTGGGGACATATTGTTTGATCGTTTTAGACTAAGAAGATTCTCCTGCGGCAGCCCAGAAAGCTGCGGAGTCCAGCTATGGGGCTATCTTTGCAACACTCCTGCACTCAGTGTTTCCCATCCAGGCATGCGCACCTCTTCTTTGCCTAGACCTCCAATCCTCACATCCAGTGATCATTGGAAGAACCCAACATGCCAGCCGCCTGCACAAACTTCCCAAATCCCCCAGGCTACATCAGCAGTCCGCCTTGAAATCGGCAAAAGTCATCTTCGACTTTTCTTCGGGATGTTGGCGAAGCTCATCCTTGGCATGGCCCCGGTCCCGGTGTCTCAGGTATATGCTTACTGCTTACTTGAACTTGAATGAAGCATCAGACGTAGGATGTGGATTTTGCAAGCTTGTATGTGTGCATGCCAATGCGGTTTTGGGCGGTCGATCGTACAAAGGCATGTCTTTGCCATTCCTCGTCGTCGCAAGTGATAGATTCTGATAGATGCAAACGACATGCCAACTGCATGATACATCGTCAAAAGGAGAAGGAGAACAATATCATCTGGGTGCTGCCTTGGGGGGGGGTCTTCCAGCATTTGAGGTGCGTGAGATGCTTCTGAGAAGCTGCCCCGCAGCTTGGGTCGTAGGGGAGCAATCAATCTTAAACCTGTGTCAAGCCAAAGGGATATAAGCGGCTTTCAAACCAGGGTCATTTGTGAGCTTCGGTTCACAGGCACCGGTTTACGGTTTGTGGGGGCTCTTCCAGCGATAGTAGGGTTGGCTTGGGAGTGGCAACCGTGCACTCAAACTCTTCAGCACCCTTCCTGCGCCTGCTTCACGCAACGCACTGCCGCCAGAGAACTGCACGAGGCGGTGTTCACGGGCTTTACAAGGTCACAATTTTGTGACCAATGTGGCATTGTCGCTCTTGAGATTCCGGTTGCGCTGTGGTGGGCCCCTTGCTCTAAACACCTTTGATTCCTTTGATCTCTTTTCATCCGAGCTCTGGGCTCGAGCCACACGCACACGGAACCCTCAAGAGCGCCACAGAGATGACTGTAGGTCTGACTAGAATACAGGCAGCCATTATGCCAATGCCTTCCAGGGTGGGGCTTTAAAGGCTCGTGGTTTATGGCTGGGGGCGGCTTTGGTCTTTTCATGGCCCCTTGGCTGATTCCTCAGGAACGAAGCCAGCAAACGATGACGGTGATGTCATCCACCACATTCCTGAGACCGATGAGATTCTGCTGGGCTGAGGGCTGGCATTACCTCCCTGAAAGGCTTATTCCCACAGGCCCCGCCGGGCAGAGGTGACCCGTTTAATTCTTATTCTCGCTTTAGCTTTCTTGGAGCCCTACCGGTAATCATAGATTCGAAATTCTGGCCACAAAAATCTACAGCACCCCTGTGGCATCTTACCAGGAACTCCATATTCCCCAAACCCAAAACTCCTAAAAACTCTGACTGCTGCCATTGACAAGGAGCCCCTCTTCCTTCACCCAGCGATCCCACGCTTCTTTTGCGAGGGCCTGGATAGCTGGCTCCCTCATTTTCATACCTTACTGTCTGGTTCCCCTCAAGAGCAAATGCGCAAACCTATTCCGACAGCGTGCCATACTGCAACCAGCAGCACTAGAAGTTTTCCGCACATTGGAAAACTCAACAGATTACAGGCGGAGAACACCGTGCTTTGATACACTGCAACTGGCAGATTTGGAGTTGCAGCGAGGAGATGCTGCAGCTTTTGACAGCATTTGCAGCTGTCGAACACATCGGCATGCTGGACTAACAGCTCCCCAGCCGAGCGCTTCAAACAACACTAATTGAAGCAGCCAAAGGCCCCATCATTGGTCCCGAAGCCAGGAATTTGGACAACTGCCCAAACCGAACGACGTCTGCTACGAACTTCAGCCAGTAACACAACAAATACCGTGTTCGTGCCTCGGCAGCTTCTTGCGCCTTGCTGGGCGGGTACCTTGAGACCGCTGCAAGCAACTCTCAAGTGAATGCCTTCCCAATGATCAGTGACCCTACAGGCTCGGAGCACGAGGCCTTGCATTGGGACTTCATGGGTTGCCGATATCGGGGTACAGACTCGATCTGCTCCACACCCCCCCCTCTCATCCCTGAGCTCTTTCTAGGCATGCAATGCTGAGGGAGTCTGGCGTCTACAGTTCGAGTGGATTCGTTTTCTCCTGCAGATTGGCAGCTAAGTCTTTAAAGGCTAGGAAACGCCAGTAGTGTGCAACAGAGACTGATTTCACTTGCTCCGCGATGGACTCGGCCATGTTCTCAAGTCTTAAGCCACGCTCGAGCCTCAGCCAAGGTGCTTGAAGATCAGATCTGCGGCTTCTTTGAAGTCGCAGAACTCCCAAACCTGGGGATCGGAGGCAGGATTGACCACACACAGGGCTGGGAACGATCATCAATTTGGGGACCGACTCCCCTCACATTCTTAAAGAAGCTGGGTACATGTACCCTGAATACTCTAGAGTTCTCATTTTCACAGCCCCGGAAAGAAGTGCATGCTTTTTGGAAAGCCAAGGAGCCCCGTCTGAGCACATCAGCAGGAACTGCCACTCAGGTCTCCTCCATGGCCACAGTTCCCCAATCTTGACTCGGCGGTGGACGTGCAACGTTTCACAATTCAAAAGGCTCCTCTCCGTGGCACGCACGTCAGGCTCGCCGGAGACCCCGGCTTTGGCCTTGTCGTTCACTGGCACGAAACGCGCAAGAGTTTACTCTCAGTAGCTCGAATTGGAATATCAAACTTTGGCAGATGCGCCGAAGACGCCCTCAAAACTAAGCCGGGGGAGCAGTTTGGGTTCATCTTCTGTTGTCGCACCATGTTTTGCTGTTCGTTCTGAAGGCTGGGTGCCCCAAAGCAATTTTCAGGGAGTTGCTCATCGAAGACACCGAGTTGCTCCAATCTTGTCGCCGAATGCCCGGGTGATGACCAAGCCTAAAGCCGGACAAAAACAAGTCACACACACCCACACACACACACACACACACACACACACAGAGACACACACACACACACACACACACACAGACACACACACACACACACACACACACACACACACACACAGACACACACACACACACACACACACACACACACACACACACACCCACACACGAGAAGGCGCCGGCCTCTTGGGACAAGAAATGGCAAGAACGAATGAGCCTGCTATTCCAGAGATCTTGGAGGGATGCCCTCCTTCTCTTGCAACGCTCAGGCTTGGATGCTCGGGAACGATGCGGTGATTTCAGGACGAGAAAGAGCACTTGGAGATCGATCAGATGATGGGGATGACCTACACGGCGGTCGATGAGTTCGAAAAGGATGTCTTCGTGGTAGAGGACACTTACGTGAAGAGGCCTGGCATGTCCGGGACTTGTGAGGGACGATGGTCCCGCCGTGTCATCAACGGCCAGACATGAGCGCACCTCCTCCGTAGGGCTGGGTCGTGATACTGTGCATGTCTTGCTCCAGGACGTGTGGTCATGCTTGGTGTACATGATCGAGAAGGAATTTAAGATTGACGAGACAATTCTCCAACCATGCTCTGCCAGCGGAAAGCGGAGAAAAGGGAGCAGTGGTTGCTCAACGATTGCCCCAAATTGTTAGGCTAACTACGTGACATGAACAGGTGGGGCACTACGGTTGCAAAGGTTTCAAGTGGGTCCTGTAATGAAGCAAGTAGCCTGGATAGAGCTCGCCCTTGAGAAAGACCCGCCTTGGCTGTGTGAGGAATTGGCACAAAAGTTCACCCCGCATTTTGTAACATGTCACATGGGTCTGCTGGAGGCTTCGGTTCTCAGTTCCTCTGACCATTGTCCGCCACCTGCTGAGTTGGCAGCTAGGGGTTCTGTAGCACCTGGATGCGTGACAAGCCCGGCGCATCCTCTGCTCACCTTAGCAAAGCCTTGAAGCTGTAAGCTCTTTTTCCCAAACCCAGAGAACCCTTGGGCCTACATCCTGCCTCGCAAAGTAGCCAGCCAGAGAGCCCTCAAGCAGCCTAACGCCGCTACCCTCCCCATCCATAACAAGTCACAAAGGAATATCACCCACGAGCTGGACGACTTGCCCACCAGCGGCTTCCACCCTCTGCCTCGACTTTGGGAGAATAGCGAAGAGGCTCAGTTTGGAATCCCCCGCCGCAGACATGGACTTTGGGGGAAGGGATTCTAGAGCTGCAACATGTGCTGTGACACTGACACTCCGCCAAGACAAAGACCCCCAAATCAAAACTGCAAACCCTCATGGTAGCAACATGCACAATAAGAACGTCAACCGTGGAACCTCTTCATTCACCGAGCAAGGAGGGATCCCCATTCTTTGCCTGCCTCTCTGCATCTTGGGTGAGGCGATGTGCAGGTGTCAGCACCTCCCACAAATGCTGAAACTTTGAACTGCTGGAGGTGTTGTCACGCTTTTAGTGGGGGGCTCAGTCTTCTGGCCTGAAGACACACCATATCAAAGTTGGTCGAAGATCCCTAGCACCTGGCCCAAACCCCCCACAAGAAATGATTGCCCCCGCCCCCCCTCAGCCCTGCACTAGGTATAAACAATTTAATTGCTTCGGTGGTCAGGAGGGAGGGGGGAGAGGAGGGGGGGCGGGGTTTCACTAATCATGACCCGTGTTTGCTGACTTGACACTCCAAAGTTCAGGAAGAGATCACATGCGCAAGACCGTGTGGTGCACAAGTCCCATTCTTTGGAGTGGCATTCGAAGCCTTGACTGCGTTTGTCCCCAGGCGGCAGCTCAAACTCCAAATTCCGGTAGATGATTTAACGTCTCAGAGACACCTTCAGGCAGCTGCATTTTGGCAAATCGCGAGATGCCACGAGGGCACCTGGAGATTTCGGATCTTCCCGCTCTATAACGAATCATGTCCCGCCTGGCTTAAGAACCCATCTACACCTTCAAGGCGAGAAGGTTTAGTTCTGTTGGGTTCAGGGGAAAACCGGCGCCTCCACCTCGAGCCCAACGCTGGCAGGTGCTCCCTTCCTAAGTTGGAGCGAGCCTAGTCAGAAAGGGACACGCTATGGGCCTGCTTATTCCGAGTTTTTGCGTCTGCAGGGCTTGGCTTTGATTCTCAAATCAACTACAGTAGTCAGGGTTTTGTTGCGGGGGACGGGGTTGTCGGGTCTGCGGAAACCTAGACAAAGCACAGTTCTAAGGCTGCTCTTGAAATCTTTCCAAGCATCACCGGCTTTGGCTTCGAGGCAACCACCGCTTGAGAGTCACCAACATGTGCGATGTACCTGGGCTCTCTGAAGCGCTCTCAGCAAGCTGCTCGTCAAACTGCCGAAGCTACACCACAGAGCCCCCGTTGCCGCAGTCATGTCTGGAACGACCTGCTTAGAATCTGCAGCACCGCTGTACGTCCAGTGAAAACACGAACTGCGAAACCCACACCGCAAGTCACGGGTGACGAGCGATCAAGCAATTGACAAATGCCAACCGCAGGGAAGGCACAGCATCCGTTGGCTGAGGTAGGCCAGTGTGGCCGTGGTCCCACTGAGTTGGCAGTCGAAACCTTCATTTTCCAGGCCTTAGCACTTCTCAGCACTCTCTTGAATCCTCTTGAATGACAGCTGATGCCCAGCTCCTTAGCCCCATGCCAACAGCGACCCTCTATGTGCTCTAGTCAATGTAAGCCTCTGGCATTTCTGGTTCGTCTCCAGAAAGGCATCCTTAAGAGCCTTCTCCACCTGAGTACGATCACTTTCAGAGGCTTGGACTTCTCCAAGTGCCGTGGCCCCGCTCATGCCATTGCATTCGAATCAGTTTCATGACGTAAGCTTGACCATGTGAACTCAAGGATTTGGGGTGGCCCTTGTGGCCTCCTTCTGCAAGAAGCTCTGCGACTGCAGAAATGTCCGCGGAAGTGTCTCCTCTTCGAGCTTCCAGTTGGACCCCAACACCCCAATCCATTGAACAGACCCACCCGACATAACTCCCCCAACCTCGCCTAGCATCGATCTTCAACTCCGGGACAGAGGGGCATGAACTAAGCCTGCACGCCACATGCCAGCAAAAGCCTCCCACATCTCACCCAGACTTGTACCTCTTCTATATATGATGGTCCCCTGGCCCACCCACAAATTGTTGCGACCACTGCTTCATAGTGCTTCGGCGCTCCTGAACGAAGTTGGCAACGTGATGCCCAAAGGGTCCGTGCCCATCGAAGATGCCAACCTGATGGCTGCGGCATGAATCACGTACGAGTATGACATATCAGCAGCTGTAAGAAACACGCCGCCAAGTTTTACCGGTCTCCAGGCTGCGCCCTCAAATGCAGACAAACTCAGGCGCTTCATCGCCACTTCGTTCTATCCGCTCCTGTACGTAAGATTCGGCAATTGTTCACGAAGGCGTCGCGATCCTCTGCTTTCATGAGGCCTCTTTGGCAGGAAAGCTCTTACGCCCCAAGTACCGGAAGCTGAAACACCGCAACGAAGCAGACATCACGCCCTTGCGCCCTATGCCTCTGAACTTTTAAGGAACGTCAGGGCTCCCGATGCTCAAGCCCCGTGGCACGGATATCGCTCCACGTCGCGGGCTTTGGATTTTGAGGCTTGGAAAGAGCAACCCTCTCAAATGCTGCCTAGGGTCCAGGGTACAAAGATCTGTGTGGAAGGCACAAAAGTCCTCGACTGCTCGAAAGCGACAAGCAGAAAAATGGTTGTAAGTTTATTCATGAATGCTCAGCTCAAGCTGAAAGTGTGAAAGTGTCATGCTCACCTGCTCCCAAGGATCGTCTTGGCTTGGACTCTGCGGCTTCATGCCTTTTCGGCACACGCAACCTGAAGCGCTTTTTAAGCATGTCCCAGTTGCTCGACACATCTGGGTTTTACCAGCTCTTCTTTCGGCTGCGACCACCGCCGGCTTCGGTGTAGGGCATTTCGTGGTGCGACTAGCGGTTTAAGACTTGTGGCCCCTGTGGCTTGATGATTCAGATGCTGCGTCGAGGGGTTTATGAGCAAGCGGCAAGAGTTTAGGCTGTGTGTTGCTTCAGGGCTTACAGGGAGTCCTCGCTTAAGCCCGAGTGACGCTAAAGAGCCCTCCTAAAGCGCCCAGCAACTGCTGAGATGGCAGTTCCTCACTGGGAAAATGCTCGGTCTCTCATGTTGCCGCCCAGGCCGCCGATGCCAAACTTGCTCAGGGAACCTGTTCCTCAGATGGTCGGTGCTTGCCTCACCTTGCCTTGACTATTGCTTGTGTCGGCTTGCTTGCTGGCTTGCTGGTCCGCAGGTAAAAACAAATTGAAGGCTTCTGACCGCGCATGGTGCGTGAACGCATCGCTCCTTAATTGAAGAAATTTGAGGTAGCTCAGGAGCTTCAGGGCTGTCTTGTCACGGGAAAACCTCCCTCAGCGTCGCACCGAGGTGCCTTCCATCTTCGTCATCTTGGGCTCGAAGCCGTCCTTCTCCGTCTCCTGGCGAGAGTCGCACATGGTTCGGATCTCAATGCCTTGAGATGCCTTGGGGCCTTGCACCTTTGAAGCCCGGCCTGCGCATCCGATGCCACCAGGCCCCGTTGAGCAAGTCGGCGCTTGCGGCCAGGAAGAAGCCTATAGAGTTTTAAGTCTGCAGAGGCTCTGCAGAGACATGTGGTCTTCAGAACGGCTTCCTGTCTCGACTGAGGATCAAGGTTCGAAAGGCCTGCTGGATCGAGTCTAGTCACAGTCGAGTATGTGTGTGTGAAGTGTTGTCTGGTGTCGCGTGGTGTTGTGTGTAGATGTGTGTAGATGTGTCAGACTGAAGATTCAGAAAACCGCTGCCACTGAACCGGGTTTTCGAATCCTGGTGGCCGCAGGCCTCTAAACTGACTCGCAGGGCTCCCAGTTCCACTCCACAGGATATGACTGGACATAAGCGGCATGACACGATGTGACACGCTAAGTGGGTTTTCCAGCCGACCCCTTGGAGCCAGAACTGATGCAATGCAGAGGGGGCAAGCTCTGTTTCGCAGGCCTCTGATAGTCAGCAAAACCAAACTCACCTGAAAGCCGGTCAAAGCCGGTCGTCTCGAACCCTTCTTAGAATCACATTACCTTGAAGGCATGGCGAGACTTAGGGTGACGCCGGTGTGTCCCAAAGCCCTTTCTAAGGCTTCGACATTGACACGAAACCTCTGCACCCTTGAACAAAAGCATCTAGCAACTAAAAATGATTCGTCTCCTACTGCCTGCATGCAAACCGCAAGCCCTAAAGCCGAAATTTCAATGACTTGATCGACTTGTGCCGCTTACGGAAGCTGGCATGAGGACGATCCCAAAGATAGCCAGGCGAAAGCCAAGCAACTGCAGGGTTGCATTCGGATCAAGGGTTCCTCAGCTCCGGGTGCGAAGCAACTTTCTTTAGCCCTTTATAGAAACAGTCGTTAAACATCGAGACGCAAATGCGAGGAACGTGTCGACTACCATCCCTGCTCAGTCTCAACCTCCGAAACTCGAAGGGGCTAGCCAGCACCATACCCGGGTGCACAGCTCTTCAAGAAGCCTTCCGTAATTTTCGTGCTTCTAGTTACGAGCCCGTGGGAGAGGGGGTGGCTTAATTAGGAGGTTAGCATCTACGGAAGGGCAAAGTCCAAGGACCTGCGCGAACTCTTGTGGCTAAGATGTTCGGGCAAGGTTCCTTGTCCGGACTTGCCGCAGAGCCCGCCCATGGCGCGGCGCACTGTGTCACATGAGGGCTTAGATCCAAATTTGCCTAGCAACTGCATCGCTTGGATGTCTGGAGTACATTCTGCAAGCCAAAGGAATAGCCATGATTTAACACGTGTTGAAAGGTTCTCAGCGGAGGAGGATATGATCTGCTGCGGTTCCCCTGTTGCAGAGGCAGGCACAAAACCAAACGAATTTGTAGTGCTTTCATCATGAACCCGAGATTAATGGGCCAATGAATGCAATGAGTTTCAAGATGGGCCTCGGACTCGTACCGTATGGCGTGATCCATGCCGACCTTCCTCGAGACAGTATCTACCTCCTCGTCTCATGCTGAGACTTTCATGCCCAAGCCGAGGCACCCCAAAGGCTCATGAAGACAGTCGTTCCCTTCCACGCACCCTACTCTATACGCTGCACACTAGAACCCAACCCCTCCTCGGATTGGCCGGGCAACACATTATATTTCTGGGAACTTGACTAAAGCCAGCTAACTAAGTGCAAGATAGCCTATAAAGATGTGGATGGGTTGAAAAAGGTTGGTTTTGCAATGCTGGCAGGTAGAGTGAGTTCATCAACCCCGCATGTCGTTCCTGCGTAAGGCCGAAACAGCTTTGATGTCTCCGCCATCATCTTTCCACGCCAGTGCTGCTACACGCTCCTGCGGGCAACATACGCACGGTCATGGCAGGTGGCGTACAGCGTGTTAGAGCATTTGTGCATGTGCAGGACTTGCATTCAGAGGCTTGTGCATTCATGAGCGCAGCATACGTATCACATGAATGCGAAACCATAGCTACACGAGAGTTCTTCACGCACACCTTCCATTTGCATGTCGACCATTGCAGTATGGAACGTACCAGTCCATGCTACCCTGTAGCTAGTCATGCCACAAAGCTTCATGTGCACCAGCTCACAGGATCCGCTTGTGCTCGCATAGGCAAACTAGGAACATACTTGGCTCCTGGTTGTTGCCATATCGAGATACGTTCATATGGTCCTATGGGGCAACTTTTTGTTGCTTGGAAATCTCGATCTGTGCTACAGCCAAAGCCCAGCCTCTTCGTGCACTACCCACTGGGGCTTCATCCGAGTCCGCCTCGGCAGACTACGCCCAGCGTGTGGATTGAATGGCTTGATGCAGATACCGTCTTAGCTTATCTCTTAGCTTCAGCTGGGAGCCCGGCCACAGGTCTTCCACCTCTTGCAATGGGGCGTCAGCGAGCTTTGACTTCAGCGCTTCGAAGTTGTAAAATTCCTGCCGCTCGCGGGGTCTGCTGCTACCTGCTAGACATTTTTGTTTTGAGAAGACAGCTTTGGACGCTGCATGGTCAAAGCAATCGACCTCCTCAACCCCTCGACAGCAAGATGTACCATGCTTCGTGCTTTGGCAAGCCTACATTGGGCCTACATCAGAAACCACGTGTTGGCAGCTCCTGATCTTCAGGGTGCCGCCGCAGCTGCGCGGCCTGAATCGCAGCGCCATCGTCCTCGGTGGATACGTTCAAAGCCAAATCTGAACAAGTCCAAACAGCCAAGAGCTAGCGGATATTCGTGAATTATGCAGTACTTGGGAAGGTTCGCAGCTTAGTCAGGAAGTGAGCTTCACGCGAAATAAATGCCGGGATTGATATGGGCACTTGGAGCGCTGTTTGCGTCCGGAATTTGAAGGGGCCTGCATAACTACATCACCATCTGCCTTCCACCCCATCCATTGCGTCCCCGGCCAAGATTTTCGACGAGTATCCCTTAAGTCTACGGGGCATAACGAAAACCGGAACTTGCAAGGCCCGCAAATGCGTAGTGATTCTGTTGAGCAGCGCTTCAAACCTTCAGCGACGAGGAGATATCCTTAGGCCTGGGCCTTCCATTCGGATGCTGCCTGATGCACGGATGTCTTGCAGGGAGTCGAAGCCGATTCCGGCATAAATAGCAAGTGCTTGGCACAGAACCCACCCACACAAACCCCGATGGAATTTCCGCATTTCGGCTTGAGCCCCTGCTCAAAGTTCAAAATCTATGCACCCGAATCCCTTCGTTCACACACAGATAATCTTCAACCCAATGACCCTCACCCTTTGACATGACTGCTGCAACGACAAGCCCTGTCATTTTACCCCTTTGTGGACCCCACAGGCCCTTGTTCAACCCCACCTTACAACCCAAACTTCTTGAACCTTGAACAGTGTCGAAACTCAACAACTCAACGCACACAAAGGGACTTCCTCGCCTTTGCCACTTGGCTCCGCCTCTCCGTCGAATCGCCGCGGCGGGATCTGCGGAGCCGGTTCAGTGCTTCGGTGCATTCGAAGCTTTTAAAGATCGTTTTCAAAGATAGTTAATCAGGCCACTGCTAAGCTGCTAGGCACTCGGCAGGTGGGCCAAGCGAAAAAAGGAACACGCAGAAGGTCCGACGCATGAAGAAGATGTGCAAAGTGATGAAAGCTAGCAACACATGCGGGCTCTGTGTCTTCTTTCTCTGTCGTGTGCACGCTAGCAGGTGTGTGCACGTGTGCCACTCCTTAAAAGAGAAGTGTTAAAGCAGGCGGGCTGCCGAAAACGACTCATTGCATACATGCTTGCAGGACAAGCTTGCATTGCAAACAACTGCAGGAAAGAATTGACGGGGAAGTAAGATGTACAGCACTTGCTTGGGGGTGCAGTGCGAGGTTTGTTTGGACTGGAGTGCTAAGCTCCGACTGCACAAGACCCAGCTTCAACCCTAGTAGCTGGGACAAAGATATCGGCCTGGAGCTTCTCTTCTCTCGACTCCGTCGCTGGTCACGGCTCCCACGGCCTTATCAGCTACATGCGTCTAGCCGCACACCGCACGATGGGGCTTTCGTGGGCTTCTGAAGGATTCTTGGGGATGTTCTCATTCGCCATGAAAGCACCCATGAAGCCAAGAAGTTCTCTAGACCCATCTTCGCTTCACAAAAGGTAAAAGAAATCCGAGCTGAATTGGCTGAAACAACCTTCCTTTCCTTTCCTTTCCTTTGGCATGTCAAGTCCCTGTGGGACGTTGCCCAAAATTCATGCATTAAATTCTAACAGTCACAGATATGCCCATCCAGCAGTGACAAGGTCGGTCCAAGGACTGTGAGGCGGGAAGCCGACGAGCCTAAGTAGGAAATGAGCACACCCGACGGAGGCCTGTAGGCCATCCTGTATGACAAGAATTAGCGTCTGAAACAGGGCGGCAACTTGTTTGGAAGAAAGCGAGGCTGAAGACAACTGCAGCTGGAACACAAGCGCAGTACATGCAGAACCCTGAAACCCATTCAAGCAAGCACGAGCCTCTGCGCGAACTTTGTGAGTGCCATCAGCAGACAAGTCCGAAGTTCGCAACAGCATCGAGCGCCAAGGCAGGCCAACACTTGCGGGGTCGACCCGGTGCGGACGGGAGGGAAGCAGTGTCTTAAGCAAGGCCAGGGGCGAGACGTCCCATATGGAAGCCCCACATCCACGAGCGGATGGCTCGCCCCCCCCAGCCTGGATGTGCCGCGAGACCCATAAAAGAGTAGTCGGCAGCGGCATGTGCAACCGCGACAGCACTGCAAGGGACATGTCCTCGCCTTCTGCCTCGATACGTTCGTCCCTGGTGGGCAACCTAGGCCCCATCGCTTGGAGCCATGGTCTGGTGGGCTGGAAATGCTGCCATGCCCCTTTGCGGACTTTCAACAGGCTTTGCCTCCCAGCACGTTCTGACTCTCTGCAGGCCACTGCGTCAAGAGGGGGCAAAACATGCGCAAGTCTCCACAAGCATCCATGTGAAGTGCTCAGGTGATGTTTGACTCGGTCATGGGAGTGGAAATACTTCATGCATGCCAAACATACCTCACCATAAGCAAACATGCGGGACGGCGCATAAACACCATGTCGTCGGGCACAGTGCACTGCAAGCATCTGAAAACGAGGAAAGGAAGCCTCGCAGTAAACGCAAGCATGCTCGCCTCCTGCGCGAAGCGTTTGAGGTGCCGAGTGCGACAACTGGATCTTCCATTGTACGGCGGCGGCAGCACATGCCAACTCGTGAGCATACATCTTACGCGCAGCAACAACCGCCTTGTGTAGCCAACCGGGTTGTTCAAGCTCCAACGCATACAAAGCCCGAATTGGCTCAGCAACCGCAACAACGCCTCTGACCTTGTCGTGGAAGAGCGCCAGGAACCTGAGATCCGCAACAACGGCAGCCAGCCAAGACCTATGAGGGTCCTGCTCATGAGCCGACATCAGCCAGCGCCAAGCCAACGCAGACCCGTGCTGAACAAAACGACGAAACAGTGAAGCCCGTGAAGCCGCCAACTGCAGTCGTGGAGATGGGCCCGGCACATGAGCCATGGTCACGAAGGCGTGAGGCAGTAGGCCTTCTCGACCCTCTCGCTTCCAAAGAGCGCGCCAGAGACTCACGTAAACTTGACACCATCGCCGAAATGCAGGGCCTTTGAGCAAGGGGATGGCGCCGCAGCCCGTGACAAACCTGGACAGCACGTTGGCCCGGAGCAGAGTCGCTCGCGTGTGCAGTGGGAAGGCAGCACTCGTGAAGAAAGGACGGCGAAGAGGCTGCAACGCCCCGTAAGCCAGGGAAGCGCGATACCCAATCTCCGGCATCATGCTGTTGTCCGCCGTTAAGATGCTACCCAGGTGCTTGTAAGCTTGCACGATGGGAAGGTCCAAGGCCCCGTACACGGAATGCGCTACGCGCAAACAAGGCCCATCCGAAAGCACATAGGCCGGATGTGCCTCGACGCGGTAAGTCCCGGGCAGATGCAACATGAAAGCAGTTTTTGTAACGCCCACACCCCACTCCAGCCCAAAGGCAGCGCTATGCCGAAGAAGGAGCTCAGAGGCACTTATCGCATCAGTCAACAGCTGCTGAGGACAGTCATGCAAACGGGTGTGCAGAAGGTCATCAGCCCAGGACAAGAATGGCACCTGCAGCTCACCCGTGTTCTCCCGGATCAAGGGCACACCCTGAAGGGTAGGCAAACGCGGCAGCAGATCAGCAGTGTTGAGCGCAGCCGTGGCGGCACGCAGGTAAGCTGCAAAACCCAGTGAGAAGACAACACCGGCAGCTGGGTCACCCGGCCGGCTACCTCTGGCCGTGGCTGTGATGGGCCCAAGTACTTCGAGCCTGAACCAGGTGCCCTGGAACAAGTCGGCCGTGAGCCGATGCAAGTGGCTTGAGCTCTCTGCTTCAGCGAGAACACACAGACGTTGAAGCTGTAGACCCAACTCTTGCAGGGCCGTCGGAGGGACCCCAATGCGGTGAAAGAGCCGCAGCAAAGGCTCGTCGGATTCTGCACGGATGGCTCCAACAACAACCTCACGCACCAGCGCGTAGAAGGCAGACTTAATGTCCACGAACAACAGCAAGGCCGGCTTGCGCATCGCGAGCATGGCCCCCCAGGCCGCACGAGCAACGCCCGCAATCAAGTCAGTGCCTGTCCCTGGCAGTTCGCCTGCTTGCAAAGGGTGCGCAATACTGCGCAGGACATCAGCGAGCCGCGAGCGAAGCAGCCTGTGATAAATTTTTGCATCCGTGTCTTCGAGGAGTATAGAACGGTAGTCCCCAGCTTGGAGGCGCGCTCCAGCTTTTTTGGCTAGAGCAAACAAGAGGCCGCCCTTGTAAGTGATGGGTTCTCGAGTCGCAAGCGCAGCTTTCAGAAAAAGTGGGAACATGCGTGCAGCCAAAGTCGGAGCTTGTCCTCTGAAAAGCTCAGCTGTCAACGTGTTGGGACCAGCGGCCTTGCGCTGCTGAAGCGAGAGCATGACGCGCTCAACTTCGCTTAAAGATGGAACTGCAGCAATGTCGAACACGACCCCAAAGCGTTGATGCGTGCTCAAACTTTGAGCCTGAAGACTGTCCGCAAGCCGAGCAGGAGTAGTGAGCTGGCCAGCCTCCAGCGAACCAAAGTGTCCTCGCCAACGCTCACGTCGGTCGGAAGCAGACACCGCAAGCTTCCCATTCTCAAGTTGGACAGCAGGCAAAGGGGCTACTCCCTTGGAGCGCCGGGATGGCTGCAAGGCCGGAAAGGCTTTCCGCAAGTCCCGGTAGGCTTGACGCGGGTGTGCGCGAAAGTCAGAAGCAGCCGCCTCGCGCGCCAGCCGGTCAATGTAAGCCTTGCGATCTTGCCGCACAGCCTTCCTGACCTGCTGCGAAGTGAGTTGTAACTGTCTCACAGCACCGGCAGTCTGGCGCGAACCCTCGGACTGCCAGCGGGCCAACGAAACAAGGTGGTGACCACTGAAAGTAGTTCCCCGGGCCAGGTGACAGAAGGCGGCGAACGCCCACAACAAACGCAGCCGTCTCTGGCACGCAGAGCAGTCTGCAAGCATGTCCCGGAGTGACCCACGGTGAGCAACAAGGTCCAAAGTAGCGGCACTTATATATGGACGCTGCGGCGCACGCTTTGCAAGGGAGAAGGCAGCATCAAAAGCGCATTGAATGGCTTGTGTGCAAGACTCCGAATGCTCATCGACCAGAGTGTTCCAAGCAGGATGAGGCGTCTCGGCAACAAAGGAGGCGTACGACGCCCACTCAGACTCAGTGGCATTCTCCGGCGGCCGCCGTGGCCGACGCGTGGGTGCAAATGGTAAGCTTGAGGAGGGCCGAATGAAACCAGCACGCAGCTGCACCGGAAAATGGTCGGTGCCAGAGTTCAGAAGTTCCAACTGGTACAATACTTGGCTGCCATAACATATGGACATCCAATGCAAGGGCACCGCAACATAGTCCAGCCTGCGAACAGCGCCAGTCGGTCCACGCCACGTGTGAGAGTGTCCCGAGTGCTTGTCTTCAAACGTGGCTGGTAGTGCTAAGTGAAAACGCTGTAGGAACCAATGAAAGGCAGTCCCCGCCATGTTTTCATCTTCTGCGGCAAGCGTCCCCACTGAATCAGTGGCAACTGAGCCCAAGTGGCCATTGGAATCCGTGAGAACTATTACATCAAAGCCGGCCGGCACAGCGCTGGCCTCCTTGCTCCTAGCTTCCCAAAAGTCGTGAGGGGCATCGTCCTTTGCAGACTTCGCGTAAGGGGCATGCGCAACAAGGACAGCCAAGCGGAGACCCTCCGCCTCAAGGGTCACCCATAAGAACCTGGGCGCTGCGGCAAAAACCGTGACGTGAGTCCTACTGAAGAAGCACCGCCTGCCTCCTTGTCTTGCATAGCAGTGAAGCTTGGAGATCCACAACGAGCATCCGTACTGCCCTTGCGGAGTGCAAGCCGTGTTGCAAACATAGTATTCATTGGTCTCTTGAAGCCCGTCTACAGAGATGCGCGTCTCCTGTATTCCTGCCAAGTGAACCCCCCTTTCATGCAGCTGGTGTCGCAACAACGCCTGACGACCAACAACTTTCATGCCAGCGTGCGTGGACTCATCGTCGCGAAGTGTGAGCGCATTGAGGGTGAGCAAACACAGGTCGACGCAAAGGCTATCAGCAGCCTGTGTCGGGAGCTGTGGAGCCGGCAACAGCGCCGGGGCCGGAGCGCTTGCTTGCAAACGGGAAGCCTCAACAGGCAGCGCGCCAAGGGACGGCAAGTGCGCACAAGAAGTGACTGCCATCCAAGCCCAAGCTTTCAGAGGGTGTCGTGCAAGAGAACCAACCCAGGCAGGCCGGGGCGGCAGTATGACCGCCTCATGTCTGGCGAGCTTGGCTAGGGTATCCACTAGCTCATTGCCCGGCTCGCCGCAATGCGAGGCGACATGCTCATAAAAGACTGGCACAGAAGAGAGCGTTAGCAACTGCCGCAACTCCACAGCAAAAACGGAAAGCCCGTCCGGTTTCTCACCAACGCGCGCAGGCATTGTTTGTCCAGCAGCGCCCCGACCCGCAGCCTGACAGTCATATTCGAAAGTGACCGAGACAGGAGAGTAACTGCGCAAAAACTGCCAAACCCAAGCCTGTGCCCAAACCAACGCCAAAAGCTCAGACTCGAGCGCATCCTCGTGCGCCTCGCCAACATAGTGACAGTCGTCTAGGGGTGCCGCAGGGTGAGCAGCATATCCGATGAGTTCCACTGACGCCTCACAGACAGCAAACGCAACAAATGCCCACGCAACGGGACCTGCAGCAACGCCTTGCGGCGACCATTGACTAGCTGAACCGTCCATGTAAACCTGCAAATGAAAAGACTTAGCCCCTTTCCAGTCCCACATATCAATGGCCTCGAAGAAAGGTGTGACGGAAGCTGGCAGTTGAGGGAGCTCGAGAAGCCACTGCCGATCCCAGGCAAGCCACTGGTCAGGAGGGGCCGCAGCATCCGTCAACAACAAGCGCCGAAAGTGTTCTTCTGCAACCTGCATGGGGTGCGGGGCCAAGCTTTGTGAGAGCAGCACAGGAGGCTTCGAGGTGGCAATCGTCATCTCAAGGCAGGGGGCAACATGGCAGCTGACAGAAGTAGCGCCCAAGCAGGCACTAGAAGGGCCCATGTGAGAAACACCAGGAACAGGGTCAACCTCGCCCCCGAAATGTTCAAGCAAAGTCTCCAAGAGCGTGGCGGCCTTGAAGAACAAGATGCGTCTGGTGAGCCCGGGCACAAGCTGTAGGACTGTGGCAGCAAACAAGGGCACCCCGTCACAGGTCTCACGGTCCCTTGACGCCAGACCACCAAGCAAGTGACAAGTGACATAAAAGGCGGTGTTCCTTTCGGGCTGACCTACCTCATCTAGCACAGTGCGTAAATGCCACGTCTCTTCATGTCCCAAGTGTTCAAGACCATCAAGCTCAGAAAAGTGAGCAGCAAAACCTTGCCTGAGGGAGATGGGGGAGGGCAGGCGAGGTGCGTCCATGTCAGACAAAGACGTGCCCAGTACGGAGGCAGAGTCAGCAAGGATGCCAGGCGAAGGGGCGGCTGAGCAACACTGAGCCAAGACCAGCAGACACCAGCAACATGCCCATAAAAGGCGCGGCCTAGCAAAGCCGATTATATGCAAGAGGGCACAGACAATCCCAGCGGTAGAGGCAAGCAACCATGAGGCTGGCTCCATCAAGAGCCGTGAATCAAAGGGGCCCCTGCGTTCTCACTTACACTGCGCTAATCCGAACGCTCTCGCATTACACAAGACAAGGCCATGCCAACTGCGGAAGGCAAAGCTGACACCATGCTCAGGAGGCCCGACGTGCTCATTGCCCGACTTGAACAGGTCATTGCCAACAGAAGCCGCCTGGTCAACACATGGCACAGGATGCGTCAGCATTGGCCCCACGAAGGGCCCACCTGCGGCGGCCGCAGCAGGAGATGCAAAGTCAGCGCAAATCCACATGCAAAAGCAAGGACCGAGCAGGCTCCGAACGAAACGCAAAGCAGGGTCCATGTTGCAACGACCACCCTTCACAGGCCAGGCTCTGAAGAGTAGCGCTATCAAGCCAGCAGTGGCACAGGCTCCCCAGGAGAGCAACACACCAACTGCACCGTGCTCCGCACCAACCAAGCTTCGCCACAACCAAGCGCCAACGAGAGCCATGACGGAACCTAGATTCGCTTCTGCAAGACATGGCGCGCGCAAAGGGCCGTGGACTATGCTCAGCCTCCAGCGGGCGAGCTGCGACAGGGAAGATCCAAAGAGAGAGAAGAGCCGAAGTGGAGTCGAGCACCGAGCGCCAAAGAAGACCCAAGAAAAGGCGTTGACACAAGCCAACCACAAGTCAAAGGCAGACGCCAGGGGGGCAAGCAGGGGATTGCTGTGAAGAGAGGACTGCAACCACAAGGAGCACGCTCGGCCAGCACAACTGTCTACACAGCAGCCAAACGCAGCACCTTGGTATTTGCAGGTCTCAGGAACAATGAGGTCACGAGCGCAAACAGGAACGCAAAGACGCCCAGTCAGGGGCCTCAGCCAACACGCAAGCGATGGCAACAGCATATGTGCGCCAGTGACTGCGCCCGGCGAAGGGTTCCCAACATCACAAAGGGATTGTCGGCTTAACCAAACAGGAAGCCTGAGGTGGAGATTGCAAAGGTCGGTCGTGACTTGCGGCATTGCGTAACCCTGGAAGCGCCAAACCCAATTACGAAAAGGTAGACTAGCAACACACACTCGGCAGCTAAAGTTAGCGCCTTGGAGTGGTCCGCAAACTAGACTTAAGAAACCCGGCCAAAGGACAGAGAGGACTGTGCCACATCTCGCATGGACGGGCTGCGACAAGGAGGACTGGAACCTCGCACCACGCATGTCACAGGCTGGATCTGCGCAAACAGGCAGGTAGGCAAAGTGAAATACACAAAGGCATTGCAAAAAGCCCTGGAAAATACCTCCTATGTACACAAAACACATTGTCGCATGCAACTCCCACGTCAGCCCCAGCGCCCGTCGGCTCGGTAAATGAGCAAATCCAGGCGGCACATCACGCCCTTCAACGCACTCACCGAGACAACAAAAGACGGAGGAGCGACTCAGATGCGTCACTCCAGTGTTCCAAGACTCAAGGAAGACGTTCCGCTCATACTTCCAACACCTGAAGCCTGGCCGGGCTCGTTGAGGTCCGGATCGTCGCCATCGTCGTCGAGGAAGACCACCGGCACATCGTGGGGAATGCGGAGCTCTGCTCCAACTGCCGCGCGTTTGGCGGCAAGTTTGTCGGCGAGCCTCTTGGCACCCTCCCTGGAGACGCCAGCACGTTCCAGAGAAGGCGATGTAGCAGCTTTGGAGCTCTCCTTGACGGGCACCCGGCGGTGCGGCCCGTAACCAGAGTGCGGTGAGGACCTTCTGGTCGCGCTTGGCCTGACGTGCGAAGTGAAGGTCGGCGAAGGGGCTGGGGCTGCAGCAGTCATTGGAGAGGACAAGTACGGGTCGTGACTGACCGGGCTTGGTGACAACTGGCTGTAGCTGGGCGGGGGCCCAGTCTGCACAGGGGCAGCTGAGGAACACTTGGCCAGGGCAGCCAGCGCTGCCGAAGGCGGCTCTTGCGCGCGCGGAACTGGGGCTGGCGTCCTGGCAGGTGCTGCGGTTGAATGAGTCCGTGGGGTAGAGGGCATTGCGTGTCCAAACGCTCCGGCCCCGATTCCACCCCCAGTAGGCTGCAGCATTTGCGCTGCATCTTTCAGAAGGGCATCCATTGACACCTGGCTGTCGGCAGCCGGGCCAAGCTCCGAAGGTACAGTCGCAATCATCTCTTCCCAGGCTTGACTGGCTGTACTGGTAGGTGTGGTGGCACTGTCTGTCAAAGCGTGGCCGCACGCCGTCGTCCTCAGCACCTCCTTGGCCTGCGCACAAGCAGCCGAAGCCTCCACCAAAGAAGTGTCCAACTTCTGCATGTCCTGCAAGAACTTGTAGTGCTCCTTCACATACTTGGACTTCATTTCTCGTTGGTAGCATTCCCACTGCTCTGCGCGCTGCTGCCTTTCCTGAGTGAGAGTCTTCACCTTTTGCTCCGACTTTCGTGCGCAGTTCACCGCACGTTGCAGCTGCTGTATTAGGTCTGAGCCAGCAGGCTCGCTTGTCTTGACAGCTGAAAGCTCCTGTATCTTGGGCACTTGCATAGCAGCGTAACCGGGGAAACTCGGTGGCTGTGCTTCCGAAGGACGTCGTCGTCGCCAAGGTGCCTCCTCCTCGCGTTCCTTCGGGCCACGTCCACGCTGTCGAGGAGACCACGTGCCAGGCCAATAGCGCCAGTGGTAGGCTTGTTCTTGCCACTGCTTGCCCATGATTGCGTGGGTGGCCCAACAAGGCCCTGTGTGGTGTCGTCGTAACAGCTGCACGTCCCGGCTCGAAGGCCGAAGACCCTTCTGCGAGAAGACAAGTACTCTGCGCCTGGCTTTTGCCCTGTTGGCTCGGGCACGTCGGTGCCAGTTAGGCGAGGTCGGATGCAGGCCGATGGCGAACACAGCAAGGCGTGTCAAAAAGACACCTGGGGCTACAGCGATCCCTGGCTACGGGTGTTCTGAGCCCTGAAACAACCTTCATCTTATGCCCTGAAGGCTCCGACGGCTCCTGCTGCGGCGACCTCCAGACCTGGCTTGGGGGGGGGGGGGGGGGCAGCTTCAGGTTGTCAAGGGCCCTCAAACCGAAGCCGCCTAAGCCGCCTAAGCCTCAGCTATGGACATGCAAGTTCTGGTCGGTAGGAGGAGAGCACCCCAAAACGACACACACTTTGCGTAGTTTGGCTCCTCTTGCTTTACCCTCTCATCCGTCAGAGTGCTACAATGAAAGTGATAAAGACCTGTACACCAGACTGTAACGGATGCCTGAATTTTTTTTTACCCATAGTGCCGAGCTTGAGCTGAGACTCTTCTCAAACTGGCCAGGCGGGCTCAGCTGGCTCCGCCTTCTTCTGACGTTGGATGACCTCAGAAACTGCCCGCCCCCCGGGCAGTTGGTGAACTGTGCTATCATTCGTTGGGCTTCTTGACTGTTGACCCGGCAACCCCTAGCGGCCCTGTGCTGGCGACATGAGATCGTAGCCTGATGCCGCGTGGTTTCGTGTTGTAACTTGCCACTCCTGGCAGTTCGACAGTTCGACAGTTCGACGTGATGCCTCTGAAAGTCCCAGACTGTTCTCTCTGGGCGTTGCCTAGCGGCCTAGCGGCCTGGCGGACTCCCCAGAAACAGACACATATCATTGAGCCTTGCAGTACATCGGGTTTTGTACTTTGCCGGTGTACTGCGGCTCAAAATGGCCTCGGGCCTTCAAGTTCAGGATCCTTGGCTTGGCTTTCCCAATGTCCCACGTGCTTAACTGCCAACGCCGTGTCTTTGTTGTAAAAGCTGGGCATCGGACTATCCAAGGCTTCATCTTCTCCCTCCAGTACTTCTCTGCCTGGCTCTCTGAGAATTTCCGTGCGTGACCCTCTGAGCTTGTACCACAATTAGGAATGACGCAGGCACTGCCTGGCAAGCATCCAGCACCCTTCATGGTACTGGCATGTTCAATCCCTTGAGGCCATAGGAGGCCATGCTCTAGCGCGTCAGCCTCCTCAGCAGTCATCTTTTCACCATGCTTGGCCTGACAGTGCAGTTCAGCCAAGCACAGCAAAAATCGGTTCGACCCTGAAAGCAAACCCCGGGACCCCTTAGAACGGACATGTCGCAAGTCACAAGTGCTATGGCACTTAAGCCCTCATCCCTCCGCAGCATTCCGCAGCGATTCCAACTCAAGTCGAAGGTGCAAAACGGTCTGATCGAGCTGCAATGGCCCACTTCAGGAGAGGCAGCAACGGAGATTGTCCACCGGGTGAGCCCACCACCAGCAGGCACTGAACGGGGAGCCTTAAGCTCCTCGAAGGTGTAGTACCTCGCGGCTCGAGGGGATCTCATGGTGGAGACTGTGGCGACAGAATGGGGTCGTACAACGAACTTGTGAAGGGTAAGAGCATCACTTGGCTCTCTGCTGCTACCCGATGTTGAGTCGATGGGCAGGCGAACGTCGACTCTTCCACAGGAGCAATGTCCGAACAGTTGGGCACTTCTCGTCATCTGGGTCGTGCCTCTTGTCGATGGGGTCCTAGATGCGCAGGGATTCTTTTTGGGGTTTCACGGCCTATACAAAATAACCGAGGTCAGCCAGGTACATGATGGTAGAGATGCACGTTTACCGTCTTTTGTGCCTCTGCTTCAGCTGAACCATCAGGCACATCAGGACAGATCAGAAAACCTTCATCGAAAGCACGCCATCGAAATCACAGAGTCGCCGGCAATAGGACCGCCATCATCCTTCCACTCGTCAACCTAGGATAAAAAGGCCCCAAAACCATGCATGAGCCACATGAGCAGTTGTCCAAAGCCTATGCGCCGTCTATATGGATCCTGACACCACATCCCGCAATACCTTGACATCCTCGCAGGCCTTGGGTTTCGCGTGTGGGTTATTTGCCGGGGTGATTGCATGCTTGGGCCGCTCGCACGCGCAATCCGAACACTGCGCGCAGGCCTATCATTACAACAGCAGGAGAACTGGACTGGTCTGAGGCCGGTGCAAACCGAGAAAGAAACGAAGGTGTTAGCACTGGCACCGCTTAAACTAGCACTGAGACTGCTGCTACCGGTGCTGGCGTCTTTGCCTTGTGAGCTTTGGCACACAAGGCACAAGGGGTGAGCCAACAGGCAGCTGGCTGGGTGAAGGGCTTGGGGTTTGAGAGTGTGTCGCAATCCTTCCTACAGAACTTGCAGGGCATGCAACCCTTAGAGGTGTGCAAGGTCAGCGGGGCTTCTCTGGAATGGCCACCTATGGTCCTGGCAAATTCGTAACTCAGAGAGAAGGCTTCAGGGTCTATGTGTCGAAGTCGATGTCAACTTCGAGTCAACGACACAACTGCAAAGGTCAGCCACTCGTTGCAGGGTTGGGCTCTCATACCTCAAGACGAGCTGCTTAACAACGCTACGAATCTCGCAGCCGCACTCTTCAGACGGACGCCCACTTTTTGTTAGCCAGCTGCGATGTCATCCCGACCTGCTACACCCTCAGTCCAGAGTGAGGGCGATTCACCAGTCTTGGCTCATCTCACTTCCTGAACCTGGCTGGGTTGCAAGTGATGTGCTGACTGGAACGAAAGACTCATGCGCAAGAGGTAGGGCATCACAACTGGCTGGAAGATCCACATGCAGCTTGGGCACGTCAGCAGCCCCTTCTCCTGACCAGGAACTGCCACATCCCCGGGGACTGCACATCCCGACATTTCTAACTGTCCTGACAGTTAACGTCGAACGTAACAAGCTGTGCGAGGTCAAGGAGACGGCCTAGATAACATGCTAAACGGCCTATTTGGCCTTCGTTGCAAAGCCAACGTGCACTGAAACCTTCAACCCATGTGATGAACGGCTCAAGAACTCGCATTCCCTTTCCACCAGATAAACCCCAAGTATTAGACAGATTCATTTAGAACCGAAGTCCCTATAAGTAGTCAGCAGCTGGGCGAAGCGAAGCTCGAAGCTATTTCCTTTCATGCGGGCAGGATGCGTGGAGCAGGCGGTTCAAGCCTTGGTTCGCCAACTTGTGTGGAACAGGCAATGTAAGATGCTGACTCCAGGAAGCCGGCTTCCGATGCTCAAAACGGAACTAAACAGGAAAGAGAGGCAAGGCTCTGCATTCGGACTGACTATCTAGATCCAGGCCTGCAGAGAAGGACTATGCAACTATGCATGGCCAGAGCAGGTCCCTCCTGCAAACTGGAAGGGCCCCTCTACCAGATCGACGGAGGCTTGAGCGTGCGAGGCCTTGTTGCAGAAGGTGAGGTGCTCATGGCCGTTCAACGCAACTGGGGCCACTACAACGCTAAGACAGTATTGCAATGCAGCGCCAGCTGCATGCGTCGCTCTCGCCCCGCGCACGGATGAAGCCCGCCAGCGCAAACGTCTCGAACTCACCGGTGTACATTCCATTCTCATCCACCTGACATGTTGTGGAGAAGCTAGGGCTGGGAGCCCAAACATTTCTTCGTTGAAATCGGATCCGGATGCGCAAGAGAAACTGCTGCAGCCTGTTCGAATTTCAAGCGACATATAGATACAGTTCTACACATCTAACTTAACCCTTGCCCTCAACCCGACAGACACCGGGCGCAACAAGCCCCAAAGCTGATCTTCTTGTGCATCTGCAACACCAGGGATTGTCGTGCTCAGGCTCCTTCGGCCACGCTCTACATGGATCCGTGAGCGGTCTTTTCGGATGTCAGGAAGCGCTTGTTTCGGCTCCAGTTGGCTCCACCAAACAAACACCGATCTTTGAGATGCAGCAGACACCAAGGGCACATGTTCTTTTGGTTTGATCTTCCACTTCAGCCTGAGTTAAACATAGTGGGGCTGACTGTGCATACCCCTCGCAAATTTGCACACCCTTGGAGTTGAAGTACTGTCGCGGCTGCCACCAGAGACTTTGCCTCACAGAGGGTGTTGTCGAGAACTTTGGGTTTGGCCGGGTTTGGCCACTTGGGCCACCAACCCCGGCGTGTGTGAATCCTAAAGCAGATCCTGATCACGATTATGATTATGCTCATTGTTCTCCTGCTTGTGAGGTATGAATTCGAAAAAAGACAGAGCTTGGCGGGATGAAATCATGATTTTCGACTGTCATAACATTCCGACTCGCCCGACCTGGACCTGGAAGAGCGGCGTCTGTTCTCGGATGGAATGTGCGTCTCTGATGCTTTTGTTCAACGGCAAAAGACACAAGGCGAAGCAAACGCTCACTTGTGAGCTTCTGGCAATTCAGGTGACTGAGGGAAGCCCCAAGACAAGTCGGAAGAGCCGACCCCACGTTCAGTTGCACAGCTCCATGCTCCTGGCAAAACATTGCAGGTGAAGGAGCCACACTTTGTATGCCCGCAACGTGTGGAAGCCCACAAGGCCCGTTTGAATAAGACCCTCCCTCCCAGACTGTATCCAAAGAGCGAAGAACTGTCCTTGGCAGCGATGAGACGATTCGTTGCCGAGCACTTGCCTCAAGGAGCCCGAACACCTAAGCGGACCTAACCCCCGAAATCGGATGTGGACAAGTTTGCCAAGTTTGGCATGCTTGAAACCCTGAGGCACTCAAGCCAAACCCACACTTTGGGGGTTTTTTGCGAGACGCAGACCGCATCCGTCGGAGGAGGTGAATGCCAAATCGAAAGCAACACGTTGCAAATACGACTTCGTTTCCCTGAACCCTGGGCAGCATCAAATTCAGATCTACATCCACTTTTGGAGCACCTACACTCTGCAAAGCCTCAAGCCGAAGCCTCCAAACTCAGAACAAAAACAAAAGAAACCACCACCGGGTTCTCGATGCACGCGACCTCCTTTAACACACTGACTCTGAAGAGCTGAACCCTACTTCCAGACCTGCCTCCTTTGAAACTCCTTAGGAGCAGTAGGACCTACTGCCTCCTGGCCCAAACGCCGAGCTGCGGGGGATGTACAGGTCCACAACCTTGCCCTGTCAGGTGATTCAATTTTGCCACGGCTACAAAGACCCTAGGGCCCCCGAACTTTCATGAGGCACCTCCCATGTTCCAAAAACTGGACCGCCTCGCAAATACGAAGAAAACTCTTCGACAATTCTGTGGCCTCGTCGTTCTGCATGGCTGGAGAATGCGCTGCGACGGTGTCGGGTGTGTCAGCTTGGCTCGTCTTATTGACCCTGTGAGCCAAAGTGGGACAGCAAAGTCATCACCTGGCCTCTTCCAACAAGATGTTCATTAGTGGCGGGCTCCCGGCGGCCCTTATTTGGGCTAACAAAAACGGTCACCTAGTGACAAGCCAGACTCTTAGTGAGTGTCTGAGATCTTCAACGTTCAGCTGTCCACCGGTCTTTGTCACTAATTGCCTATAAGGAATGAGTGCACATCCCAACCACGCCAAAAGCTGATCCACTTGGGAAGCGGCGCGGCTGCGGCTGCGGCTGCGCGGCCTGCGCCTGGCTCACGAGACGCGGTTTTTGGAACCCGGAGTGAGCAAAGGGGCCTTCGAGTCGTGCAGAGGATTGCAGAGGTTGGTGTGTTCGTGCCTTGCGTTCTTTGCAAGCCTCAGGCAAACAAGACCTTGAAAGTACCGGCTTCGCCAGAAACCTTTCATGAGACTATGAACTTGCATGGGTGACGGGACAGTCACCGTCCTAGCAACCGTGCAAGTGAATAGTCCCACATAAGCCTGATAAAATCAGCACACCTCCAACCTCTTGGGCGGAACAGCGCGTAAATCAGGTCTACAAAGCTTATGTTGTCCCAGTATTGACTGCTACAAGAGCTGATTGTTGTTTTGATCAAGCCTCAATGGGCCTAGAACGCTGTCCTGCTGCTCAAGCATCACGAAACATAGGGCATGAGCTGTGCGTGCACGAACCATGGAAGCTCGTCTGCCCATATCGGCTCTCAAACTCGATCGATGCTGACCCCAAACCCTAAACCCTAAACTGCCTGTCATCTCTGCGGTCGCGTCTGGACCTGGTACCCGCAAAGAACAACAGCAGCTAAACACCGCGGCCCAGTTAAGGGACCCCCCTTCCTCAGCAGCAACATCGGTACGTGATTTTAGGGTTTAGGGTTTCGGGAATCATGTAGTGTATGCACTGAGATGTACATCTACTACTGTACATAGCAAAGACATAACATATGTTTTGCTTGTGCTCAACCGTCTCACACTCCCAGCAGCCTCGAGCGGGAGCGCCGCCTGCTAAGGATGTGTACAGGTGACTGAAGTGGCCGAAGTGATTGTTGGTAGGTGGTCAGCTTCCGCGCTACAAGTAGCCGCGGAAGGTAATGATACACTGTTACACTCGGAGTAGTAAGGTGGTGAAAGATAATGCGACCGTCAACATGAAAATCGTGGCGCGGGATTCCTAATTCCTAAAGGGCGAATCCGGAGCCGCCCGCAGGGGTCCTTCCCATAAGGCGCCTGAAGCTTCAAGGCCTGAAGGGCCCCACAGGCTTATAAAGCTTGAAGGCCCTGAAGGCCTGAAGCCAGGAAGCCTGAAGCCTGGAGTGGATGCCTCTACTCAACCTTCAAGCTTCCAGAAATCTGTCTGAGATTTGCAGATCTTGTTGGCGCGGGGATACAGATACTATAACGCGAGCACAGCATGCCCCAACAGCCTCGGTGGGCTGCGACGATTCCGGCCGCCACGTCCTCCGCGACTTCTATCCTCGCTGCCAGAAAGTGTGTTGATATCGATATCTTAGGCAGTCTTTGCTCCTCCTCATGCCTGCAGCCTTTCAAGCTTGAGATGAATCTCAGATTGAGGCTTTTCAGGCATCGTACTGGCCTGGCCGGTGGGAGCCGACAGTCTTCGAAATTGGGGTCGGCAATTTGTTTGAATATTGGGCGCCATTCTGCCTTAAGTATGGCTACACTCCTGATCGCTGGGAGAGGGTAGCCCCACAACTGCACGCAACCGACACCAATCCGAATGCCCGCTGTAGAGCGTCCGGGTTCGGGTCCTAAAGCACGTGGCTTCAAAGCTGCCATGGATTCGTTTCACCATGGAATTGACTGAACCAAAGGTCCCGCTGTCGGCTGCGCGAGCGAGATCGGGATTTGGACTTTGATGGAGAGGCTCGGCCTGGGTGATGTATGAGCACACTCATCTACATTTCCGAGGCGGGGAGGTGGGGAGCGGAAGGGGTTCCGGTGACCTGTTGAAAGGAAGTCGTCTTGTTCGGGCAGCTCCTGAAATGCTTGAGGAGGCGGAAGGGGCGGGGGGGGGGGGGGGGGTATGGGCCAAGTTCTGGGGCCATACACATTGAAGATGTCCAAACAACAGCCCCTCTTGTGGCCTGAGGTTTTCCGAGGCGTTGACGCTCCTTCTTGGGCTTTCGAGAGGTCCAGTCCCAGCCTGGACCGTCGAGTCTGATGAAGACGAAGCAAAGTTTTCGACTTGTCCTGAGGTTACCGTTTGCTGGGTGTCGTCGCCTCCTGGCCTCCAAGCTACAAGTGTTATACCGTTGGACCGTTGGTCTCCTCAGCAGCCCGTTTTTGTGCAACATAACGCGGCTGCCCCTGCAAAGGCCCAAAGGCCTGAAAGCAAGCAGCCGAGACCAACCTTCCGTGAAATCGAGCTTAACCTCAATGAAATCTCAATGAAGCTCAAGATGCTGTCCCCAAACCATCCCAAACCCATCAACGGCTATCATACCCTAACCAACAAGGTAGCCGAAGCCCACTAGCTCAGGTCAGGGAAGCCTTTGGCCCCATCGTTGCTGAAGCCTCAGATGCGGCTCCGTAGGAAGGGCCCTAAGGGTTTTTCTGGGGTTGGAGAGAGATCTTTGCAGTGCCCAATAGACAGTACCAATAGAGTTGTGTACATTTAGGAGTCTTCCACCTGCGAGCTTCCTGGAGGGAACACACACACACAGACACACACAGAGAGTCACACCCTAACACGCAGGTTGCTCGCTTGCATCCGGGGGCCATTCATATCTGCAACGATGAACTGTGCTGGGGAGGCTTTGGCAGCAATGTGAACTCAACCTGGATATGTCCTGCAGCTGTAGCGACGGAGCCTCACGAAACACTGGTGTGATGAGATATTTGAATACAGACACTGGAAAGCACAGCAAGCTACGTAAGGTCCTGTAAGCACAGTGCAATCTGGACCGCAAGCATCCCACCATGTCACACAGCTCCTGAATCTTGAAGATTCCTTCAAATATCCTCTAACTCTAAACTTACATACATTGAAGCAATCCTTGGAGCACACCCGAATCGAACATGCATCCTGGACACCGGCCAAAGAGGGGCTCACTCCCTGCTGCGCCCGGTTGGAAGCCGGAGTGAAGCCCGGAAGCCCAGGCGTAGAGGCGGGCGTGGAGGCGGAGGCGGGTGTAGAGGCGGGCGTGGAGGCAAGCGTAGAGGCGGGCGTAGAGGCAGTCTGGCCCTGGATTCTGCATTACCCATCAATGATCAGTTGTGCGCTTCCAGGAATTTCAGGGTCACAGCGAGGATGAAACGAGTGCAACGAAGTGCCTGGCCTTGCAAAGTCAGAGGCCTTACAACCCCTCCTCTTCCTCCTTCTCCTCCTCCCTGCATCTCCCACAGTCTCTTGTCCTAAGGATCTCATCTTCATACCAGTCGCAGCTATAGGATCCCTTGCATGAGGCACCGACTATCTTTGCAACCTGGTGCGTGCAAGGTTCTTAAGATGTTGCAGTTTCTCCCTTCCTCCCTCCCTCCCTCTTCAAGACATCCCACTAAGCGATGCTAAATACATATTTTTGGTGTACCGATATTGCTCATGGAACTTTGAGCACAAGAACCTTCTTCCGACGTCCCCTAATGCACGATGTTCTGAACTCCAGACCCAAAGGTCCAAGACTGTTGACTTTCAGCCTGTGGAAAACCGCTGGGCGTCGAAGACCGCTGCCTCAAAGCACGTGGACAGTCGAACATGACTGATGGGCAAGATGAATTGAGATGAATTGAGACGACTCCTGCCCTGTGGTTACTTCCAAAAAAGCCGAGGTCAGAACGCTGCTGCGGCTGCCAATGCTGCTGCATATCCAGTTGCAGGTGGAGGTGGTGGCGGTGGAGTTGGAGTCTGGGGCCTTCCACCGCAGCCACCGCTGCACCCGCAACCGCCACCACCACAGCCACTGGCCATCCCACACCTACCACCACAGCCACCACAGCCACCACAGCCACCACAGCCACACCCTCCACCACAGCTAACCCCGGCGTTGCAGCCGCATCCACCGCAGCTAGGCCTGCCACCACAGCCAAACCCACCACCACCGCAACCACCCCCACAACCACAGCCGCCATTGCAACCACAGCTACTGCCACAGCCGCCGCCATAGCCTGCCAACTGTGCAATCACTCTTATAATTATACATAGGTGCATGCCTTCGCTATCCTTCTCAGCAGCACCTGTGACGTCAAGACCCCATAATTGGCACTTTTGCGGTGCTTGGCCGCAAGGATTCTCACTCAAAAACCTGGTGCCAACTGACGTTTCTCGTCCACCCTCACAATCTCTGCCAGCTGTGCCCATGCGCTCTCCGCAAGCTGTGTCCATGCTGTACAGCGCAGTTGGCTTTACGTTTTCTTCTAGCCCAGCTCGCCTCTGCAACCGCAGCCGCCGGAAGGGCAGCCACCACAACCCCCAGGTGGGCAGCCGCCGCAGCAGCCAGGGGGGCAGCCACTGCAGCCGCTGCAGCCACCAGGTGGGCAGCCACAGCTACCACAGCCGCAGCCGCTGCAAGGGGTACCACCGCGGCCGCAACTACCACAGCTACCGTTGCAGCCGGCGCAGCCACCACAACCTGCACAGGAGAAGAAAGCATCGTAACCTAACCGGTTTCTCGAATTCATTTCATAGAGCGAAAGTGGGAGAATAGGCTGCCAAGGACTGGGCATCTTTGCCATGCATTTCTCGCCCTCACAACTCAGGACGGCTTCAGGAGTGAAGTTCCCAGCTTTAAACAGTATTTGGGAGGTACAATTGGGGAGGGGTGGGGGGCTGGGGGGGAAATATTTATTTGGGCGAAACAATGACCTGAAGTCGGCCCTAGACAAAACTCAGTCGTGCCGATCGTCGAACATCTTTCGTGACATCATGAATACAAGGAATGAAAGCTCCAAGTCTCTTCAAGGGATTCAGGCCTGAGTAGCCACAGCCACCGCTAGCACTGCAGCCACCACCGCATCCTGACGACAACCGGTTGCTAAGGTGCTGAGGCGTAAGCACATGGCGCGGACCTGTGATCAACTGCCGTGGCAGTGGCAGACATTAAAAACCAGAATGTGCAAATGTCTTCACGTTTAATTTATAAGTCCTCCGCTCTGCAGTTGCTGCAGCTGGTGCAACCTTAATATAAGACACTCTGAGGATCTGCTTCTGCTTCTGCAATGCAAGTATATAGAGCACTGCATCACGGCATCACCATATTACACATATCGCAAAGCATCCGTCTGCAATATTCCAGTGTAGAAATGCACGTTACGAGGAGCACAGGGGACTGCGGGAACTACAGACTTCATGCGGAGCCTTTGCCTGGGACCGGGGGCTCAGAAAGCAAACCCTAAGGATGCACGAGACGGACCCGCGGAACGTGCACGGGACCTTGGCGGGAGCATGGTTTGGATAATGGAGTGTGTACACGAGACCTATAGCGAGAGCCCGAATTGGCTGATGGGACGATGTGGTTTACTAAAAAGGCCTTATCACCAGCAGGGCGTCTGCATGACTCGTTGCAGAACTTATTAGTGAAATCCAACGTCTGGAGCTGTGAGAAGCGCACACATTCTGGTTGCACCCACCCAGGCCCGGCGTAGAGCCGCCTGTCGCAGCGGGCATCTGCATAGCGGCAGCTGTGGGACTCAACCAAAAGAGCGTAGTGGATCAATATTTTTGCATCGCAAGCATGCACTTCCTTCGGAACAGCCGCCCTTCGGCCCAAGTCAAGCCCAAACCAAGCCCAAGCCACCCCGTAACTAGCTAAGGCAAGGTGGCGCCTGCGCAGCCGCCTGCTCCCTAGCAGGTGGATCGCTGGGTGGGCGTCAAGGGTTGTTCTTTGGTACGAGATCTTTACTTACAGAATAGCTGTCTAAATCAGAGTGTGCAAATTTCGAGAGCCCAAAGACTTCATCCCTCAGCCCTGCGAGAGAAAGGTTCTCGCCTCAGAAAGTTAAAGCTGCGGGCTGTAGGATGCAGGGGGAACTGCATAGGGCAGTGTAAGGCACTGTAGGGCCTTTGTTGAGAGCCTGGGCATTGGCCTCGCTGAAGAACAACTCTCGGGTCGAACGAGGCGGATGCTGATGTTCATGGTTCATGATAGTTTGCCCACGCCATGGCACCCAGTGTGCAGCGCTGCAACTGCCGAACTTTCAAGCTGAGCACGATATCCCGACCCGTGAGCATACGCCGTGACGGGACGATTCGAGATATCAGGCAAGAAACGGGGCGGAAACCCTATTCGCTCAACCCCTGAGCCCTTATAAGTCTTCGGATTCTGTCAACGGGCGCGCGCGAAGTGTGCAATGAACCCTACCATGGACCACAGCAACCACGGAATGACAAGAAGAGGTGTGAACATGTGGATTGCAGTACAACTCTGATTGTAGTACAACTCTGCCTGCCAGCTTCCGGGCAAGCCTGGCTCCATGGCCTGCCCTATAGGGGCTGTCCCTAAGGACCTAAAGTGACCTAAAGGTAGTGTGACCCAGAAGGTGCTCCACTTCAATCTGTTGATGAATATGAAATGAACCACATGCCATGAGCAAAGGCATGCTACTCAAACAATGCAACGATGTGGTGGTGCTACAATAGATGCTAAAGCAAAGGCATGTGCTGAACAAAAGGTACGTAACACAAGAAACAAACTTATTGCATATGGCTTGCTAAAAACATACATTTTGTGCAACGAAAACAGTCGGTCTCGTCCTTTTTTGCTCAAGGATTCTAGAAGCCACATGTCTCGAGTGAATGTGTTTGTTGAGGAGATGGCATTTCTTGCCATTTCCCTGCTCATAGATGATTTGCGAGCAGCGCCCTTGCTCAAACAAACATGCTCAGCGAAACATATGTTACGAACACAAGCTGCATGCCTGTTGCAAAGGCACATCTTTTCTCTTCTGCTTACGACACCTGACATGCGAACAGCATGCCGGATTAGCTGGTGGTTTGGCTGCGGCACTGACTTTCAGAGGCAGCCTGCATGTACAAGAGTCCTCGTACTTTCAGGGCTTCCTTTTGCACCCCTGAAATCCCGAGCCCGCTGCAGAGTTCCCTGTTTTCACCGGAGCGCAGGCCGGACTGAGGTCACGTCACTGAGCGCAGGTGATTCTGCGCCAGGCGTCAGAGAGCATGTGCAGAGCAGATTCTCAGCTACACATGGTGGTGAGGTAGGGAGGAAGCAGCTGGGACTTAATCTGTACGGTGAACCGGAACTCCATTCGTGGTAGAAGCCTTCACGACATTCAGGGGCTCTATCTGCGTCGGGGCTCAGAATACAGGACTGCAAAGCTGGGTCCCACACTGCTTGGCCTGGTTTGGGGATGCTCACTCCAAGTGGCAAGGGGCCGAGAAGCTTTTGCCACTAACGCGGTCCACCAATCCTGCGCAAGCTCGTTTTGTGCTGTATCCACGGTATGTTTACAGCCACCAGACCTCCTGTTACCTGCTAGCTGGGGAATGAATTCCGCTCCTGTATACTGCTTGCTTTGTAATTGACTCTGCTTCACGGCGTATCAAACAAAAGAATCCTCCAGAACCAAGGTACTCAATGTTTCATTGTTCGATACTTTTCGAGATTGTTCGAACTGATGGCTGATGAGAACCGACAGCTGATGGCTGAGTGCGGTGCCTTCACCGGCATAAGACAGCAAAGGCGAGACCTGCTCGGCCATTGCAGTTCGAAGTGCTTCGATTTTCCGCCCCGCAATGGTTCCTCTAACAGAGCCCGTCAGTCAGATATGGATCAAAATCTGGCCGGAGGACACCTAACGTGCAGAGGTATGTGCGCTAAGGGGAATGACCTCCAAAAACGCCATGACTACTTTTGAGGGCGGCGCAAAACTACAACAAAGACCACTGCTTGTAAGAGAGTCGAGGAAACACACAAACGACACACGGCAGACGACTGACGATTCATGTGAAGACGGATTGCCGAACCTCCTGCTTACTCAGCAAGCAGAAGTTCGTTGCTCATGAACAAAACATTGGCAGGCGACACTTTCCGCAGCGTCATGACAGCACAAACTGTGTGAGAAGCCCCATGCCCTAGTTCGTCCCTGAAAGCCCGTTCAAGCCTCTCAAGCAACACGAGCGCTGGCCACCAAACATTTGAACGAAGGACAATGCCTCGACAAAGCCTGGGCTATTCCCGCAAAAATCCGCAAACCGAGCAAAATCGAGCAAATGAGTTCGTTCCTTTGTCTGGTGCTGCGACTTGGCCTCGACCACTTCATCCTTGTTCCCTTCCAGCTTGCCGCCGGCCTTTCCGGAAGCTCTTGACTGGCTGGGCACTTGTCACACATGCAGATTCACAAAGGGAGACATACCAGGCAACGTCTTCTGATGTTCTGTTCTACCTCATCACGAAGAGCTGAAGAGCACGTATCGCTGGTCTCCATGGCGCCTTCTCCACCCAACTCCGGCACAGCGCGTTCACCATTGCCCTGGCGCTGTCAGGACCTGATATATCTTGAAAAGAGGCTCGGACTGCTGGGACAAACGCACCCACATCTACACTTTGGACCAGAGAGCGTGGGGCCAAAGCTATCAGTGGCAGTCCCTGGCGCATTCTTGACTGGTGCGAACTCCTCCTCGCGCTTTGTCTCCAGGATGGCCTCAAACAACGTCACACAGGCAGGTGTTGCACGCGTGGTGCGTTCGACATTGCACGCAAGTTAAGCACGAAAGTCCGTGGCCAGAGGATCGATCCTCTCCACATCATATTGCATCTGGGCTCTGTGCCATCTGGCTGCTCATCGGAAAGACGTCAAAGACAAAGGCCTCCAACTTCAGGCCTGTAGCAGCTCACTCCAGCAGTTTGCTTTGCCTGTGAGTGTCTGGCACTTCAACCGCAGAGCACTATAGACGAGATTTTCTCCAGGCTGCCAGCCGTTGTTGCTGTCTGGCTTCGTGGTCTTGCCGTCTTCCCCAGCGCAGGGAATCCTCAGAGCCAATTTCAGGAGGCGGGGGCGGGGTCTGGGGATCCATACTACACGTGTGCATGGTACCGCGTGCAGCATAGTACTCGTAGGGTATACCGTATACAAGCACGGGACACTTTGACTACGAAAAATAACTGGGAAAACCTGGCGAACGGGTTGCACTGATGCGCTCGGAGCCTCCCGGCATTCTTGGCACAGGGTTCCAATCTTTCGACTTGCAGGATTGGGGCTCCCAGACCGTGCATTTCAAATTCCGGCATTGCATGGTCCAACGCGATTTGCAGTTTCCCTGAAGTGATGAGTATAAAGGACGGCACAGAGGAACGCTATGCTAGGCCGAGCAAATCAAAGCAATCGTGGCAATCGTCATCAAAATCTTGTTACACGACGCGTCTGCAGCTGGGTTGTCCAAGTGTCTTCTTGTGGGCGAGGTGGAACATAGCAGCCATGTTTGGCACCACGACCTGGCGGACATCCGGCCGAGGCTTTCCCGAGCAGACTCTGATCAAAAAACCTTCAGGAGCTTGACCGGCCCGGGGCGCTGGCATTCGCCAGGAAGTCAATTGAAAAGAAATGATTGCAGATGTTCCCAGCCTCAGACGGATTGCAAATACCAGCTCGCAAACTTTAGGAACACATCTATAGGACTGCGTTGCCAACGGAAACCTTAGTTTCAAGAGGCGGGATGCTGGGCTTCAGTCTAAAGTCCAAGTTTCCACAAGGCACACCGAGTCCAACGTTTAGGGGGCCTCCTTGGATCTCCTTGGCAAAGATCGACAACAAATATATAAAGTACCGAGTACCGAGGCTTATCAGACTGGCCTCACAGATCCAACGTCCAGATGTTTTTCACGAAGGATCAAGCGGGTGGAGCCAAAAGCAACTACCGTGACATCCTGGACACCAGCTATCCCAGACCACCGAAAGCAGGTTCTCCCTGACTCCAGGTTCTCGCTGGGGCTGCGACGCCAAAGACCAGGCGCCCGGTACTGTCGCACTGTTTCTTGCGGTCATCGTCCAGCTCACCTCTTATCCAGGTCACGAAGCACAACACCCGAAGGCAGAAGCAATTGTTTGCAGAAAGAAGGCGCGTGCCAAAGCAAGGATATCCAAAAGCACAATGAGGCCCTCCGCTAGGAAGATCCATTTCACGCAAGGAAGTTCTCGAAGCATAATTGTGAATGAAAGAACTTTCCGAAGAGCAAAAGCTTGAGCGCAACTCTTCTCAGCCAGTTTGCTCTTGTTTTCGGTGACACGCCCTGCTGCTTGCTGTCGGAGAGCCAATTCAACTTGGGACGCTGTGGCATGGCCCAAGGTTTTGCGATTGGGCTTTCCCGACTCTGCCGATGGCTGCATGACAACTTGCAGACTCTGTGAGGCAGACAGCGGGAAGGTTTCATCTTTAATGCAGGTTGAACTTGCGCTGCTGGGGGAAGGCCTTGTGAAAACACGAAAACCACATCTGAACCCTTAACCCAATCATTCCCAATCTTCCCAGAACGGGGGCAGACGGAGCCTTCCCGGAGAGCGTCTGAGCCCGGCACTGTATTCCACTACGCTCGGCCGGCCGCTCTTCTTGGCCACGACACCGACCTTCTCATCGGGAGAAGATTTCCACACCTTGCAGCCGGACAACTGCAGCATGTCGGGCCTCACAGTCCTTCTTGGCTCATATGGAAACCAGCTAAACGTCGCGTCGACTCAATAAGCAGCAGTTTCATTGGCTCTACGTGCTGGTGCTTGGGGGTGCGAAACTTCCCGTCTAGCAATCACGGCTAAAGACTGTATTCCGGGTGCTGCAGAAGTTGAGACTGTGCGTCCCTCGGAAGCATGAGTGCCAACAAGTTGCAATGTTCGCTGCAGCCCTTCACTAAGCTACTGTTGCGACCCTGTTGGATTCTTGGCTAAGGTCCCTTTTGGGTGCCAAGCACACTTGTTTCCACAGTCGGCATTCTTGGAGAGGCAGTACCTGGTGTTGCACAGTCGGTCACTTGCGATAAAGCACGGGACCAGCCGAGGACTGCGGAAATTGCACCGCCAATCTTTCCGTGCTCAGCTCGGGGTGATCGGTTCCCCTCTGATGGGGGGGTAGTTACGGGTAGTTTTCAGTTGCGATTCGGCTAACCAAAGCTTTCAGAAGGCTTCACGTATCGCAACTCGTGGGACTTTCAGATTTCCGGGGCACCCAACAAAGCAAGGGTCGGCCGGTCGGCAAAGCGGGTTGTCCACGGAAAAGACGTGGAGACTCTTCACCTGATTGAAGATCGCGTCTTTTTTGCTTCTTCGTTTGTCCGGTGTCAACAGATGAATTTGGCAGTGCCGGAGCCGAAGGCAAGCCTGAAAGCACAAGCCCCGCTCACACTGCCCCCAGCATAGACTTCAAACGGTGTATGACCACGACATGCACCGTATTGCGCTATGTTCAAGGTCCCTCTATATGCTTCGGGAAGACCATGCGCGCAGGACCTTGGTGACCTTTCTGGCAGCACCAAGCCCCAAAAGCGACGACAGTTCGGCACGTGCGCACTAGACTGAAACGCAATGCAGTATGTCGAACATGGATACGCTGAAGCACAGCGGGAGGCAGCAACGTGCACTATGCCCCAGCTGTTTCCGCTGCATCGAGTGATTTACCTAAACAGGCAGGAGTGTGACTGGGAACGCGGCGTGCAAAGGAATGAGGTGAGAGCACGATTCTCGGCACGTGCCACGATGCAAACCTGCTTTATGATGAATCACTGAATCCGACGAGGCCAAGAATCATCAACTAAAGAAACCTCACAAAATCAACTCGTTGTTGAGCGCCCAGGCCCCGAGGGACTGCAGGCGATCCAGGCAGCCGCTGCGCTTCAGGGCCTGCAGTTTCTGAACTCTTTTTATCATCCAGATGGGGTTGAGGCACCTTTGGTGAAGCTACTCGGAGCTTTAGCCCCCTATAGAGTTGAGATGCGAAGTCCTTGAACTCTGCAGGTTCCCGGACTTATTCGGCCATTGTTTCCAGGTGGCTGCAAGCATGGACTTTTTGCAGAATTTCACCGAGGTCAAACACATACCAATATGTACTGAATTCCATTGAACCGCACGAGTCTCACCGCCAAGCCGACATGTGATCATGTAATTGCTGCAAATGAACAACTCTACGTTTTGCTGATTGAAAATCCGGGTTGATCAACAGGTATAGAAGTGAAAGACCTGTCAGCGTTTATGAAACTTCCGGTTAATTCCAATGGGAAACTGATCGGATTGCAATGGCATGCTTAAGTGGACAAACAAACAAAAAACAAAACGACTTAGAACCAACCAACTCGGTCGTCTTGAATTGCCATTGGCAATTAGGAAGTTTTACGAAATTAGCTCAGTAAATGGCAGGTCATTCGGTTTTGAACGCACAGCCTTTCAATTTCAATGGTCTGACAATCAAACACATGTAACTTAATGGCGTCTCTCTCTCTCTGTCGTGCCATCGTCCATGAAGGTCTCGCTACGCAAGGGCACGCAAAAGCAGTGCTAGGATGTCGGGAGGCGTAGCGTGACTGCACGAGCCCCTTCATTCGTCTAGCCCACTCCACGGGACATGAACATAATGGAGTGCAAGTGCAGATTCACGGGCTTAACCGATAGATTTCAGATTCAGTCGGCTTTACCTATACCTGGGAAGCAGTTTCCAATTGAAATCGAAATTACAACTTGCATTCACGAACATGCTGAGAAGAACATGATGCTTTCGAATGCCAAAAAACGAGTAAGGCACGGTTTAGCTTTCATTGAGTGAAAAAGAACTCTGCATGAACTACTTAGGAACTTAGGATCTGGTGACCTTTCATACAACGTCTCACCACGCAGCACAGCAGCTTAGAGGCAAAAGCCGGACAATTGGACAGAAACGCGAAGCAAGAAACAGAACGGAAAAGTAGCCAACAAGACAGCGGGGTTGCTACCACCAAAAGACCCAACCCGGACAAAGCCAAACACAGGTGCCTGACAGCCATCAAACAAGTCCCGACAAGCAGCTAACAGCCGAGAACATGTCGAAGCCCAGCAGCCGGGGAACACACAAGTCGGGTCGCAAAGCTTCCGATTCCGAGAAGTTCAGCTGCCTAGCATGTGAAGTTTGTCACGATTCCGCACTCCTCAAGGTGTTCTTCTTTCCACCCCGCGTCTCCTACCCAAAATGCTTCTGCAGTCCATGAATTCCGCAAAGCCCCCGGCAGGATAGAGACCGCCGTTGCCATCTGGGTTACAGGCCACCGTTCCCGCAGACCTGGGCATGAGAATTCTCGTCTGAATCCGAAAACTCATTGGTGATGAACGTCTTGATGAGTAGCTGAGAAGCAGATGTACGACAAGTGTCTTCACCGATATCTGACGCTGCACAGCTGCCGAATCCTGACAATCAGTAAGCTCGGGGCTCCAGAATGATCTTCCCATCTGGGGAGAGACATGGCATGGTTCCCTGCTCGAAGAACCATACCTGGAGATTTCAAGATTGCCCTAGCTTGATGAGGGGTTTGACGGCTTGAGACCTAAACCTCAAGCAGATTTCAGCACCACATGGTTTCTGACAGTCGCGAGGGTCAAGCTGCGACAGGCTACGCAGGATACGAAGACTACACTGCCATGGTAACTAGCAAGTGCCAGGCCACAGCAACACTGTTACACTGTTAGACGGAGTCATCTTGCACCAGTCTTGCACTGATCATCCTTCACGCATGCCACTGTACCTTCTCGGCTTCAGGGTTCCATTTCCGGGAGCTAAACAGAATCATATGCGGTGTTACAGTAATCACCAAAAAAGATATCATGATGCCCCCGAAAGGTTTTCGCCGGGAGCTTTGCCAAATGCTGGGCATGGCACGTGCTCATTCGAGGAACCGAAGTAACTGTGCCTTCGGTAGCATCCAAGACGAAGGTTTTCATGCTTCAGGCATGTGCTTCAAGTGGCACGGGTGTAGGCATGTGCCGTGAGTTACAGCAAATAGTGGGAGCTGAACTCCTAGAGCATCATGTGCAGACTGAAATTCCCACGCATGCAGAACTGCCTGCAAACTTCAGACAATGACAGAGGAAGTGGAGTTTGGAAGAACCTTATGGCCAAACCTTGGGCCGCAGAGCCCGTACGGCCGGCAATGAAGCGATGTCCACGGGCCTACACCTGAGACTCACCGGCTAAGCCGAAAGATCCTAAACCCGAAGCCCTATATACCCTAGACCCTGAACTCAAACCCGAAACCGCCCAGAAAGTCTGCACGGGAGTTCTCCTCCCGGGTCAGCTTGGGGGGGGGGGGGGAATGTCATCGGCTACATTTTGAAGCCACCTACAATCAAAGCCACCCCACTGCAACGGTCAGGGTTGTTGCAAAGCCCCACTCCGAGGCAACGGCTCCTCGAAGAAGCTGACCGTCTGCTGGTGTGTCATGGGACCTTGGCTGCTGAAGCCTCTATATATATTATAGACTCACATAGACTCACGACACAGAGGGTTCGCAGGGTTTATAGACGGTTTAAGGCTTATAAAGCTCAAATGGCATATCACGGTCTGGCGTGATGCGCGACTCTGGACGAATACTTGTCGCTAAGGTTCGGCTTCAGAGTCGTCATGAGCCCTCAACCAGGAGGATAATCCAAGCTAGGAGTCTGGACTCTTGACACCTGACCTGACATTTCTCTCACCGAAGCTAAGGCTGCAAGCCTGGTTGAATGATCGGTTCTAGGTGCCGGACTTGTCATGATGAGGAAGGGCAGCTGTGGATTGGGCCCTCCAGCCTCCCAAGCGCCACTCCACAACGGGGCAGCTAGGGACGTAGCCGCCGCTGAAATTTCAGCCCAGTTTGAGGCACCACATCTGAAGTCTTAGCACTTTGGCCGTTTTTCGATCTTTTCCAAGAGAAACCAGGACCTTTTGCAAACTTCCAGAACTCTGCAGTCCGAAGCCTCAAAACCCCAACTCAACATCTTGCAAGGGCCTCCTGAGCCATGGCTCGAAGCCTCAGAAGCTTCTCGACCTGACGCTCTGTAATGTAGTGCTTGCAGCAGGGGTCAGGCATCTTCGGTGTGAGACTTATTTGCATTGCTTTGGCTCGGCAGTTGTGCGCTGGTGCTGTCTTGCTTGTGGGATTTTGGGTTTGGTTGGGTGTGCACGGCTTCTAGTGCTTTGGTGGTGCACCTGTACCCACTACTGAGCACTACTGAGCCACGCATCCAATCAGAACAGACTGCTTACGTACCACTACAGCCCAAAACACAACAACGCCAAACAGAGCACCATTGCCTGGAAAAATCCTGAGACGAAAAAACCATAAAAAACCAACGTGCCGCCCACAAAACATAGCTGCAACACCCTGAAATAGAAACTTTGGAAGTCTCTACTACACAAGCGCGTAATCAAGCTAGACTTACATGCTGAAACAAGCACCTCACAAAAAACTTCGTTGCCTGCGCAGCGTTGGATTCTCTAAAACCTTCTTAATCCAGAATCGTCGGATTTAAGCAGATTGTTGGACCAAAAACGCCGGAGGTCGTTTGGGGCTCCTGCAAAGAGCTGGAACAGGGGCTTGTGGGAGGGCAAGCCGATGTCGTAGCAGCCCTTGGGGCCATCCTGGGATGAGGGTAACGGGATGTAACGGGCCAGTGCAGCTTCTGGGTCTGGAACTGACGGCCAAGCCTCTGGCAAAACCTAGTCGCGTCCCTTGTCCACCCGCCAGAACGCATGCTGCCACCTTCGGATGTCAAGGGTAGCAAGAGTCATCTCAGTCGGCTCCACAGCAAAGATGTAGCAAAACCGCGGTTCGGCGTTACTTTTGTGTGACGTTTGAGGCTGGCAAGATGCTTCAACATACGATGGCTCTCTCGCGACCATGCCAGTGGCCCAACCTACACGAGATTGATTGTTGCCTGCGATTCGGTTGAGGGTTGCAAAAAGTGTACAGAAAAGTGTGCGCTGAGGGGGAATGCCACCTGAGACCTTGCAAAAGCTTGCAAAGGTTAAAAGGGAATTCCGCATTGTCCTCACTATTCCTCATTCCATTCCCCCGCATCGATTCACCGACTCCTGCACTACAGTCCTGCACTACATGTGTTGCTTCGGCTCGCTCGGTCATCAATGCGGAGTTGACAGGGAAAGCCTAACTCAACCAAAAAACTTTGGGAGTGTAGGGTCCCAAGCATCCGCAACAAAAAACTCCTGCTCAGTAATCAGGTCCATCGGCGCGCCTCACCACGACCTGACTGCACAAAGATGTCTATGCGAGAGACTTGCTTGTCCCACGAAAGGGGGCACTGTCTGGTTGCAAGAAGCGCCGGGAGGCTCTGAGTGAGAACGTCTGAGGGTCCACTGCTTGGAACAAATTGATTACCTTGCCATGTTTCTGGCATATGCCCATGGCCTTATTCGAATCACATGGCCCACGGGCAGCCCGCAATAGATTCGCCCTGACCCTGCGACAGTGCCCATAGAATTCCCCCCCCCCCACCCCCAAGCTGGGAATTGGGTTCCTCAGAAGCGCGGGAACCCTAGTCTTTCCAGCTGGGGACCCTAGAAACCCCCATGGCGACCCTGACTTCCAGAAACTGCCCAGAAATGAGCCTCGAGCCTCATTCAAGGTCAAGTGATGTCACGTGCCACAGCTTCCTGCTTTGTAGTCTTGGCGGGAAACGGGCTTCAGCCGCCAGGCCGGGTTGAGGCTGAGGCGGTCGACGCGCAACGTTTACAAATACCCAAGTAGACCCCGCAAGTCCAGATCTCTTCGCAGCCAAAGTGGCCAATGGCGTCCAATCCACATGCACCCCAAGAAGCAATGTCCTCCAGAAAAAAAGTATTAGCATGAGCCTGGGGCTAAGGGCTCATCGAAGGTCTGGGCGACGGGTGGGATTGGGGCCAAACCGGGGCTAGATGGTCTAGCAGATAAGCGGATGCGGGTTTTGCAATAGTGCTGAGAGCATAGCTGGGATAGGCACAGCTGAAATGAAATCTGACAACCCGTGCCGAAGGTGGGGGATGCATCTCCCGGCGGCCGTGCAAGAACAAACCCACGTTCACACCCGACCCTCAAATGCAAGAACCCATAGTTAACTTAGAGATAAACCAAGTCATCACACAGAAGTCCTCAGGCGAGACATCGGCGAGGCCTAGATATCGTTGTGGAACGGGGCCTAAGCGCCTGGTGGCCTAGTTGGTCTGTTTTGGCCCTCTTTGTTGTGGAGCGCCATATTATCGCAGGGGACGGTTTTTTTGAGCTGCTGGCTGTAACGTTTGAGACTTTGACATCTCCCAAAGGCACAGATCCTCAACATTTTGTGTATAACACGAGAAGCATCGCGCCTTACATCCCTTCGCGATGTGTTAGTGTAGTCTCGGGAGTGGTTCGGCCGCAAACGAGCTGAACGAACGGAATATGTAAGAAATTGCATGGCAGCGATGTTGTCGCAAATGGACCTTTAAGGAATGTAGCTGCTAAACAGATCTCCAGGTTGATGATCGAAGCGTCAACCTCAGACGGCCTTTGCATCTTCGTCCAAGTCGCACGTGAAGTGGTCAGGAGGTTCCAAGTCCACGGCCTCTCACAACAACCAGGCAGCAGAAACAAAACAAACAACAAACTGCCCATGTGCGAGAGGAGGGCAACTCGCAAAGCAGGTTGGCTCTGCGGGCACGGCACTTCCTATCCAAGGAACCCTGGAAGTTCTGATTTTAAATTCACGATCTTCCTTTCAGATACAATTGCATGTTGAAGCAAAGTGCTTAAGCTGCCCTGCTCGAAACTGGCGATGCAACTTTTGCTAGTGGATGACATCTGGCTCTACCGAAAAAAGGAGCCAGTCATGCATCAACCTCAACCCCACCAAAATTCCGGGAGGCTTCCTACTCCCTGACACCCAGGCTTTGCTGCTTGAATCGACTGGGCGACTGGGTAGGCCAGCCTCTGCAATCGCCGCTGCTTCAGCTTGTGCGCTCCTGGCTCTGATTTCGGCTGACAACAAGAGGCTTCGAAGGCTCGGGATTCTAGAATATTCTTCTGGTGCCACTGGCTGCGCCGCCCTTCAGTATAGCAAAGCCACGTTCTACCCCACCTTGTGCTGTCTCGCAACACTTCAAATTCAGCCCCTCCGAGCTCAGCTAAAGCCAGGAGTGCTTTTGTGGCCTTGGGGGGTCCACTGAGGAATTTCGTTTGGGAGGGCATTGGGACGAGGTTCGTTGAAGGAACAGCTTTATGGAGCCTGAGGCTCTGCTAAAAGGCCTTACAGACTCAGGTAAGTTTGGATCCTGAAAACCCAGAAGTTGGCTGTGACCGCGGCCAGGCTGCTTGAGACTATTTGCCACGTACTCCAGGTCGATGTCTTCTAGCCTCAGCGGGCTAAGCTTTGTTGCGCCCATGAGTGTGAAACAACACTGGGGGTACCGATGTGGCGAGAGCTCGACCAGCCCCACAAACTGCGGGCGGGGCTGAGTGACCAATGCCTTTGTTTCCTCCTCCGTGGCAACGCCGGAGTCGACGAACCGAAACACCTGGCAAGCAAAGACCACGATGTGGGGCCCGGGAAAGCCGAGTCTTCTATAAGTATACTTGACGCGGTCATGGTGGCCGCAAAAGAGCCCGGCGGTCGCAGCCTGCAAACAGTAAAGACCTGGTCCGTAGTCCGTACATCACACCGTGTGCTGGACTGTAAACATATGGGAACCTCCCCAAAGCGCACTTCCCGGAAATGCAAGGACTGCGCATCACCCCCTTCCCCCCTGAGTTCTGACAACCAATGCCTGGCTCTGGCCGGCTGTCTCAAAACGCTCCTAAGCCACGCTTGCCGGCAAAAATCGGCCAGAGAGTCAAAAAAAACAAAGCCGGATCAGAGAGCAATGGGAGCCACGAGATGAAACCCAAAGTAAGACATGGCAGCAAAAGACGAGCGCACTTCGATGTTATGAACGGAGAATCAAGTTCTGAACTAGTTCTGATATCACCCAGCACTTCATGTGATGAACCCGGATTGACATTGCATCTGTGGCCTGCCAAAACAGTTCTTAACTTACAAGGAGCAGCCCGCGAAAGCCTGTGCGCAGCCTTGCAAACAGCAGCTCCGTGGGCCCGACACGAAGCGCTGCCGGTATGATGGCGCTGGCTGCGCTGGCCATGGCGTGCTTGGCTGACACGGATCACAGTTCAACCGAAAGGTCGCAAGAGTGTGCTGAGATGCGTTGCTGATGCGTTAAGTGTTGTCAAGTTGCGGTCTGAGTTGTGTCAGGGTGTATAGGGTACTGCTTGCAAACAACATCCTGGTGCTTGATTATGCTGCTTATGTCAGCCCCTGTCCAATGATCAGTAGCAAGTGGCACAGAGTGGCATCAGATACATGTGCTTGAAAGCTGGAAGGCGCACTCATAAAGTGGGAAGCGGATCTCCTAGAGTAGTGCGACGTAGGGTTTGGACAGGGTTTACTATGCGAAACCGCATCTGCGCATGTAACTGCCCAACGTGGCTACTACTCCGACATGCTCCAGCTGTGAAGTGGAACCCTGGTGAAGCTTCTGAATATCCGGATCGTCTGCTGCTCGCCATTCAAGCTGTCAAACAGCTTGATTCTATCGAGGATCCAATCATATGCGCCTGCCTGGATGCGGCCCGGGCGCTCGGGGCCGCCAAGCTGTGTGAAAAGTCTGCAAGCTTACTTGAACTTCCGCGTGCACTTAGCGACGGCTCCGTGTTCTTTTATTGCTCCCTGCGCATTCTAACGCTGTAGTGCTTGGCACGAGCCTAGGTCGCTAGAGGGATTCAGGCCCATATGCAGAAGAGAATGCCCAACCCTGGACCGCAGAAATCAAGCTGGGGGTTGAGGAATTTGAGGATTCGGCTACTTTCAGAACCCACTGCCCTTCTGGACTGGTCTAAGGCTCAGAGCCAGAAGATGGCACCACATAGCGACGCAGCACTTGTCGGACTTTGGCTGCGGGAATGCGCGAACGCAAACAAACCCTCAACTGTTGGTGTTTTTCGCGGGGGGTGCCAAGGACATTCTGCAGTCCATGAAGCCCGAAGCCATAATCAGTGGCCTAGTCACTGAAACCTGCGCTGACACTTCCGTTTGGGCTGTGGGAGGGGATGGGGGATCGCACGTGCAGCTGGACTGGAATGCATGAACCGGAGTAAAGTGACTGGGTTCGAAAGACTCGAACTTGTTCCGACAGAGACCTTTCTCCTCAAGGCCGGGTCTTTACTGTTATATGCACAGGTATATTTTGAGTCACTAAGTTTAAGGTGGAACCTCCTCCTTCCTCTGTCCTGGCACATTAACCCCATAGCACGAAACCCTCAAGCTCAAAGCCTCCAGGCCCGAGACCTGAATCCTTTGTTCAGCTTTTTTCATTCAAAGCACCTCTTTGAGACGTCCACGCGTGAATGGCCGGCGTAGCACATGTCCTGCCCAAATGTGCCTTAGCACAATCGCACCTGAGGCTTGCAGGCAGCTCCGAATCGAGTCGGAGGATGTGGAAACATGAGCATGTGAAGCTTGAGAATGCAAACCCCTAAGCCAAAACAATTCAACCGGAAAGCGCTCAAGTGCTACGTACAGTATGCCTGCCCGTGCTAAACAAACGCGAGCGGGCGGAGGGCGGCATGGCAAATGTCGACAGATCCCACCAGCAATGAAACTTGGGTTCATGCCAGCTCAGGAGTTTTAGTCCAGCAATCTAGGCATCACCTGTGAACCCAGAAAAAGCTCATGGCGTGCCTGCCGCGCAAGGAGAAGCTAAATCCGAAAATCCAGAACAGTCCACGACGTTCTGCTGAACCATACAAAGGAAACCCAGGCGCCAGGAGCCTCCAACTGGAGGGGAGAGGGGGGGGAGGGCTGTGGCTGTCTCTCTCGAGTCTGCAGGCAACAGCGAGGCCCATGCTCACGGGAGCTCCAGCCCACCCCACGCTTGTCACATGTAAAAGGCGCAGCGCTTTGCTGGCCAAGAAATACCATATCTTAACAAAAGGATTCCTGGTATCACTCGAAGTGTTTTCCAGGAGCCATCTGGGAGTAATTTCGACTCTCCGCTTGTCGCTAAACCATGAGATGCTGCGGATGATTCTCTGAGTAAACTGGCGCGATTGTCCTATATATGCACAGTACAGGGCACAGGGAGTCGCAGCTGCAGTCTGAAAATTGCCGGGGCCGCTTGGCCCAGCTCACTTTGTGGCTCAGTCCTTAAACGTTCTGAAACGATGACTGATTCAACGGGCGCACGCCTACACACCAAATGCCACAAAACTTTGCGTCTCTCACTTGGTTCAATCTTGCTGGCCTTGTCCAAAACCACGCATACAATGCATACAACCACTCCTGATGTATCATTCTGAGTCAAGGGAAACATCCCGCACCCAGCATCCCTTTTACATAAGCCAAAGACAGGCTGCTGACGCATTCCCACTTTGGACACGATTACGGCCCACAGCCGGACGCTGCCTCCGGGATCAAGGAGTGTCCATGCTCTCTCGTTTATTTATGGGTGTAGAAAACATCCAGAACACTTCGGAATGCCGGGTCTTGCAGCCTCTACAAAACGGCATGCACGTCCAAATCCTTGTCTGAAGCCTCGCGTGCCTTGTGCCCCGGAGCCTACATCGTTATAGCTTTTTCCAACTGGACCGCGTTGATCCTGGAGCTGCCTTCTAGAACTATCGGGACACACACTAACAACACAACACGCTCACGAATAATGACCCCAAGTTGGCCCAATCTCCGAACTCCAACTCTTCCGAGATCGCCTCTGGCGGTTCTTGGGCTTCGCCTTTGCCTTCTTGCTTCTCCGGTTCGCCTCGCCTTTTGGGCAAAGGTGACAAAACTCACCTGGTGCGAGAGGCGATGGAGCATCTGTGGGTTTTCAAGGCGTTGTCTACATTGTACAGATGCAATCTTGGGAGTTTCGAGGTTCCTTGCAAGGCGTCACGATGCGTCACGTCTTTGGCTTCTTGAGCAATCGTTTTAGTACGTTGACGTGCTGCGCATTGGTGCGCATTGGTGCTTGGAGCGGGCTTCGGCAATAGTAACGGAACAGCATGTGCTTTTAATCATTTTAGCATGATCAAGAATATGCACCAAGTGGCATTAACCCCAAACCCAGAAGCCAAAGAAGTAACGCATGCCGCGCAAGATCCTTCCTCTGTCTGAAGTCCAAAGACACTTTTTTGACAGCTGCCAAGAGGCAAGCCGCACCTAGACGGCAGCCATCCCGCCTGACAGGTCACCACTTCAAGGCGAGACTTGCACATTGGCATTGGGGGGGGAGACACTCCCCGTACGAACCAGAAGCTTCATGCCAGACAATGTGGCGAAGTGGCATTCGGACTGTATTGTACATCCACCGCAGCCCTTTCAGCCGAGAAGCTTGTACAGAAAGTAGGCGCACGGGCCTCGGCTGTATGCTTTGTTGTATTGCGTTGAGTCTTTGCCGAGTTCCTAAAATGGGCGCAGGCGGGACTTTGTCCATGCCTAAAGATGCTGGATAGTGTAGACACTGCGTAGCCTTTGTATGTCTTCCGGGAAGATCTAACTTGCAATCTTCTCGGCTTGGCAAAAAGAAAGCCCAACACTTGCCGCAAAAGAGCTGGTGCTATGTTTCTCATGCTCGGAAGTGACGTGCTCGAAAACTTCGCTGAAAGTACGCATATTGATTTCCCACGATACAGCGACGCATCAGCATCGTATGTTCCAGCAGCAGAAGCTGCAAGCGAAGTCCAGCAAAAAAATGCAACATTCAACCTCCCTTTCCCCATCTACTGCAGAAATTGGGGGCCACGATGGTGGCCCCTGATTACCAACACCACGGCATGCACACGGTAACACAGCTCCACGGTCGCCCTTCCCGCTGAGGGCTCGACGACATTCGCCACGCCTCAGTAGAGCAACACTTAGAGCACGAGTAGTCTGTTTCATCGCTTGATGCTGTCAATGACGGCAGCTGGCCAGATGCTTGGGCGTCAAAGTGCAGAGAGCGTTTCTGTGTTCACTTCAGCAATCCCTGCAATCCTGCATCTAGGCAGGAATTGTCGGCATGTGTTCATCCTTTCAAGCTAGAAGCTCGGATGGGAGCAACCCTCGACCTCGTGTCTCCAATACAAAGCTTTGTAGACATGAGAACGCAAAAAAGCATCGAATCCCAAACTTTTCGCCAGTGCTTCAACTTAAACATTAACTTTGCAGTTGACCACACAAGAGGCGATCGCATGTTTTGGGAGCACAACTCAACTGTGTATTGCTGCACCCAATTCAGTCAGTCTGCACTTCGGTCCCCCCCCCCCCCTCGCTAAAAAGTTTGGCTTGTGCCGATTTGAAGATGCCCGAACCTGGGTCAGCAAGTCACTACGTAGACGAGCCCAATATCCTAGTCCTGGGGGGTCGTTTCCCAATGTCGGGGGGTTTTTGTGTGTCCACCACAAAGGCCAAGAGGGCTCAACAACACCCAAGATACTCACACAAGCACCAGAAACCCGAAACCTCCCGAAGGTCCATATCTCATCCTGGCGGCTCATGCCGTGCTTCGGACTCTGTCTGCTGGCGCTGGCGTGGCTGCTCGAGACGTGTCTTAACGCACGCAGGAGCTGAAGAGGTGCTGAGCCTAGGTGGCGAAGGCGCTAGACTACGTGCCTCAAGAGGTCTCCCGATGGGCCTTGAACCTCCTGAGCCCACTGTCAAAGTGTCACTTGCATCACTTGCCCTGCTGTCACTGCTGTCCAATTCACCTTTCGGCTCAGGGCTTGTCGGGCTTGTCGTATTTGCGGATCTCGTGAGCTTGCCTTAAAGCGCAGTGCAACCGCGAGACTGGTCTTGCTCCAGGCCATGGAGGGGCGTATCGTCGTAGCCGCCCAACAGCGCCGGAGCAGACTGGCTGTGAACCCTTGGCTCCGAGACTCCGAATGTGCCCTGGCAAAGTACAAACAGCCTCCTCACGTCCCTCAAGCCGACCCTGACTCCGGGTAGCCTCGGCAGAGTCCCGGGCCCCAGGGTACCAGTTTCATGGATTGGATTGGATCATGAAGCTGCTGCTGCTGCTGCTGCTGCTGCTGCTGCTGCTGCTGCTGCTGCTGCTGCTGCTGCTGCTGCTGCTGCTGCTGCTGCTGCTGCTGCTGCTGCTGCTGCTGCTGCTGC